TCTGGCAACATGAGACAGAACTGGGCAGAGGTCGAAATGAGGGTTTTTAAGTATTAGGAAATAAAATAAAATCTTCCTTGCAATTCGCTCTTTTCACGCTCGGCCATAGGCATGCAGAGCCTCCATCTGGCAACTTTACACAATAAAAATAACCAGTTTAGTAATTCCCCTGTATACACAAGAATCACTGAACCCCGACGCGGGACAATAAAGTTAAATACTAAGAAAAATTGCCTTATAAAGTTTCGAGTTTTTTAGTCGTGAAAATGGAAGATGCCAATTGGTTTTCCTTAGAAACACTTTTATTCCATGATTTTTATACTGCTTCTTTAAATAATGTGTAGAAGATGTCTACTACACATAATTTGAAATATGTAAAATTTGAAAAATTTAAAGTGCATGTGAAATGCTTTTTTTTCCTTCAAAATAATGTTCCATTTTCTATTGGTTCAAAAGGGTATTCCAGATTATCACTGAAGGAAAAACATTTGAAGTTTTAAAATGCCTTTTTTTAAAATATAAAATAAATTAGCATTGGAATGCTTTGGATCTATGACTTTTGTAGAGTTCTGAAGTTTAGGCTCCGCTCAGGTAAATGACATTTTTGAGCACCTTTTCTTGTCTGGTAGTAAAGGGTCAAATTATCCACCTTCAATGTTCAGACAAGTCTTTTTAGCAAAATTAACATTTAAAGGGAAGATACAACATTTGGAAACATCACAAAACGAAATGATCAAATTATCACAAAATACCTTACTGGATTGTTAGGGAATGACAGTCTAAAGCATCCTTTAAAATCGTGGCTCCTGGTGTACTGTCATTTTCAAGAAAAATGGTATTTTTCCAACGCTGGTCAGCCGACCAGCATTGGAGAAAACTGGCTTTTTTCAAAAAGTGTTCCTCTTTTTTCATAATTAGTTATTCCGCGTTTTCTTTGCAATTGATTACACATCTGTGAAGGGGTACAAGCCTGCTAGACTGATTCTCCGACCTTACAATTCCCCAAAGTCTTTAAATTTCTCTGTTTCATCTTAAGTGGGGTCAGGGAACCAGACTACAAGAACATGATTGGTGTTCTTGGTTTTTCCAGCATCTACAAGCCCAAAATGTGAAAAAAGTCATTTTAACAATATTTGCTATAACATACTAATCCTCCAAATCCATTTATTTCTGAAAATTGCAGCAAAAGCAAATGTTGTACATTCCCTTTAAAAAAACCCAATCTATTTAAATTAGCAAATCTCTATGTTCCTCGCACCATGGAGAAAGGAACACAGTCCAACCACACCCACCACACAAACACATTTAAATTTACTAAATGTCCCTAAAATCTCACAAATTGACCGTCCCTCTGGCTTTGAAAAATCAAAGAAAACCCCCCATGTGAATAAATCATGGTCCCAAAGCGCGCATGCAAAAGTCATCATGCGTTTCTTATTGCAAGAAATCTGGAAGACATAATCGATCCCGACAGCGTGGAAAATTGACTCTAATCATTCCATCTGACCCAATGAAGATGATTTTCATCATCATTGAATGCTCCAGAGCACTTGAGTTAACGCAGGAAAATTGGAGAAACAGGTGTCTCAATGGGTTCGCCATCTGTGCTACAAAACAGTTACATGTGTACATATGCATGTACATGTACATGTATTGAGCATGTACATGTACTTTGTACTTTGTACACAGTTGTTTGGACCTGTGCCACTACGGAAAAAAAAGAAAAAAAACGCTTACTGAATTGGGGGGGGGGTGAATGGGGGGGGGGTGAATGGGGGGGGGGGGGATGTAGCAAACCCAGCTTCGGACTTATTGGGAAGCAGGATTATTGCATAATGAAAAAATGAACTTTTCTGGTTTTGTTGAATTCTTTGCAGTAAAAAGAACACTTGACCACCCCCTCATTGCCAACATAATTATTCATTTAATGTCATCAACCTGTACGGATGTTCCTGGTCTTGTGTAACGACTTGTACAGCACATATGTGTGCATTCTAGAGGCTGAAAGGACAGCCATGGCCAAGTTCGGGCAAGGACCATTAGTCGACTAGTGGTTGATTTGTGACGTACCTTACGCCTGCGCACTGATACTATAGCAACGTGCGAACGTCTCTAGTCAAACGCTGGTCAAAATGTCATTGCAAAACGTCTGGATCCTGGCTCCCTGCTGTACGTTATGAATGCGCGCGGCTATGGTTACCAGCGATGCAACCAGCCCCATTAGGTTGGTTCCAAATAGTCGACTAGCGTAGTCAACCATCGTTGACTAGACAGAGTTCGGGCAAGCGTTAGTCGAACAATGGTTAACTATAGTCCTTGCGCGAACTTGCCCCATAGTGAAGATGAAGTGACGATAGTGATTATACCGAACCTTGTTTGAAAGCATACAGTTGATTGGCTGATCAAAGTTGCATTTTTACAACACAATCTCTCAATGGTTGAGAGTGGGAAGGGGAGTAACCATCGGGATAGGCCTAAAAAATGGCATTCTTTCCAGTTCACAAATGTAGGTTTACATACTGAGGCCTACAGTAACTGGCTAGAACATAGAGGCGTCATTTGTTTTTTAAACGCGTGAACATTGTACATATTTGCGATGACAGTGCCAGTGCAGTGGGACTTGTTTAGAGATGAGAAAATGCCACAAACAAGGCCTACTGTTACAGATAAATGCAGTGTTCTTCAACCTGTATACGTACAAGCCGCTGCCAAGCTTTTTTCGCGACTGCTGAGAAGCTAAGAAAGTCGGTGGTTTCAATTTTCATCTGGTGCGATGTCGTGGAAAGCAAGACATGTATGTGGTATACCCACATAGTATACATCGCACACACTGCATGAAAGTACATGCAGACGACCAGTGGGTGAAGCGATTTCAAAAATCTATTGTGATCACGCGACGCTTCATGGGTATTCATGATTTGTACAGATGACATGCACGACAGCCGCAGCAATGGAGGTTTTCTGGAGAATCGCTAGCCCCAATTGTGCGACCTCCGTATTGCTGCGCTGTACGTTCGGCCACATGTGTGGTTTTCCAACCTACTGAAGAGTTTAGTCCAAACACTGGCGCACATTTTGGGGGCACTTTTTTTTTACATACCACTGGCACTGCATACGGTTGTATTCTAGCATGATGTCTCATTTTTTGCCCTCCGGGTAGATTAGGTAATCTTTCTTCACAATTTTCGAAAAATTTAGACATCTTTCTGGAGTTCATTAGTCCTTTAGAGTTTATTTTTCTGATTAACGTCGGTCAGCATCACATATGGAATTTCTGAATCCCCCGGATCAATAGATAAGGACACATAGAGTATGGAGGCGTGAAATAAGCTTCTTTAACGAGGTAAAACGTAACAAAAATCTGGTCAAAATTTCGGGTGGTATTACGTAGAGAATTCTCATCCTGGACATCAGTCGTAATGCAATAAAGACTTTGTCCAACCTGGGCTAACGAATTACCATGATTTTTGGATAACTAGACCTCTGAAGGTACCGAATTTAACGATTTTGTGCTATTTAGCAGTCATACTGTATTACTGTAGCTGGGTTGATTTTCTGCTGACAACATAATTTCGATCTTTAATTAATTTTCGGCTCCCCTAGCAACGGGACGCTCCGCTCACAGGCCGTACGTGGCTCTGTGACTGATATACGGAGGTAGTCCAGTATTTCAGTCACATTTATGGGACTAGGAGTTCATATGCGCCAGTTTCGGACTAAACTCCTCAGTAAATTGGAAAACCAGATGTGTGGCCTAACGTACAGTGCAGCAATACCGAAGCCACACAAGTGGGGCTTGAGTCAGAGAATCGCCATCAAAATAATCCACAAATTTGGTAATCCTAGGACCTCGTTCCTATATAAGGTTAAAAGACTCACTGAAACAGCTGACTAAATGACACTCAAAAGTGACATTAATCTGATATTTCTTGACACATTTGAACAGTTGGCAATGACACCTTCTTGAATATCAGCAGGTTTAATTTTGTGGAAAGAGGGCAGGGCTTTGATTAGCCCCATAAATGTGGCCAATTTACTGGGCCACCTCCGAAAACATAGGCCACACGTCCACATGTACACATTGTCAAATTTTGATTTTCACATTTAGGCTTAGTTTATAGTTTATTTTTGCTTTTAGAAGCATACTCACCCTCGTTAAAAGCTAATCAGAAAGTGCTGCCTTTTTCAGATGTCTATTTTCGTGAAATTTAATGATGGCAAACGTTTTCGTATCAAAATTTCAACATGAAATTTCACGAAAATTAGACATCTGAAAAAGGCAGCACTTTCTGATTAGCCTTTAAAGAGGGTGAGTATGCTTCTAAAGCAAAAATAAGCTATAAACTAAGCCTAAATGTGAAAATCAAAATTTGACAAAGTGCGACATGTTTTTGTACATGGTGGACGTGTGGCCTATGTTTACGGAGGTAGTCCAGTAAATTCAAATTGGCCACATCTGTTTATGGGGCTAGGCTTTGATTTACAAATTTCATATTTTACTCTCTTAGTCTTACTCTTACTCTAGTCCGAGCATGGAGCTATAAACACAACTTTTTATAGCTCCATGGTCCGAGTAACTTGGACCCAACTTATCGCCTTTTTTTAACATTTTGGACATGGTCTGGCCAGACCATGTCCAAAATGTTTTAAAAAGGCGATAAGTTGGGTCCAAGTTACTCGGACTACTCTTACTCTTAGTCTATCTACAACCAAATTTAGCTGTGGAAAGAATGTTGCGACCTGACGCCACTTCAGCGGCTGTGAACAAAGTCTAAGAAGAGTCAAGAAAATTTTCTAGGTATTTTCCTATTTATCATCATTTTTGCAATGAATGACCTTCATTGAGGTTGAGAATGATTTACAAATTAATATTTGAAAAAGCAGCGTCAGGTTGCAACATTCTTTCCCACTAATTACAACTTGTCATGCTTGTCTAAAATATTTTCCCTTATGATTACATCAAATCATGATCTTTGAAATAGAGGCTGAAAATCGCAAACCTTTTCGCTGGCAGGTAAAACGGGATTTTGGAACAGAAATCCAGGCTGTACCGTGTTGATGTTGAACGTGTTCCCACTCAGTCTCATGGTAGCCCGCCCTCTTCGTCAGAGGAGTGAAAGGGACTACTTTGTAAACTTTGTGGAATCAAAGATACTAAATTAACTGAACTTGAGAGGAATTCAATTGAAATAAATGGAAATGTATTCCCTGTAACTTTGGCGGATAGATGGGGAAAAGGGTTATATTTAGGGGACTTTAGATTTCTTGATAGTGCCGCGTTAAAGCCACGCAGGAATATTTGCAATGACCCGATAAACATCGATCTTATAACAGAACCTTGCCAAAATACTGGTATCACGAAATACTATTTAAGCTGTGAAATTATTCCTTCTAAGAACCTTCTATGTATCGTTTGTAACACAGCACATGTACTCTTAACAGTGCCACGAAATTACTTTGATAATGACTGAGCTATGCACGTATTCTTTCCTCATTTTGTTTTTTTTTGGGGGGGAGTTAGGAAATACTCAAGAGTTTTTGGGGGACTTTTTGGGGGGTGCGTGGGTATTCTTTTTGTTAGGAAGTTGTTTTTGTGTTTATTGGGGGGGGGTATCCACCATTATTTCTTTACTATATTATTGTTTAATTCTTTTTTTTTAAATCTGTCCTTTATGTAAAAATGAATATCAACAATGTAGATCATGTCATGTAGATCAATGATAATTATTTTAGGGGGGGGGGGGGCGCCACTGCGTGTATTTCTTGAGTTGTTGGCCTCCATTAGGATTGTATTTGTTGCAAATAAAATCTTGTATTGTTACTTTCATAATAGCTTGATTATTTGACGTTTTTTTTCTGAAATTAAATCTTTTGATACCAAACATCATGACAAATGAGTGTACGAAAATTCATTTTAATGTAACGTTTATTTCTTGAGTTGTTGGCCCCAAATCGAGTTTGGTGGTGGAGATCGAGACCACTATAATAGAGGGCGCGCCACATAAATAGTGGTCTCGGCAACGCATCAACACGGATGCTGCACAAGTGAAAAAAAAAAACAACAACCTCGTTTCCGATGAACTACTCAAGAAATACAAAATGGATTAAATTGAAATTTCGTGAAATTAGTTTTCGCGATGTGTAGCATGAGTAGTTTGAATGGCGTGAGAAACCGTGGAGCTATAAATATAATATGATCGTAACAATCTAGTGTTTTAAACGTTTAAACATCCATGTTGACTTCCATTAGGATTGTATTTGTTGCAAATATAATCCTGTATTGTTACGGTCATAATAGCTTGATTAATTGACGTTTTTTTTATGAAATGAAATCTTTTGATGCCAAACATCATGACAAATGAGTGTATGAAAATTCATTTTAATGTAACGTGTATTTCTTGAGTTATTGGCCCCAAATCGGGTTTTGTGGTGGAGATCGAGACCACTATAACAGAGGGCGCGCCACATAAATAGTGGTCTCAACAACGCATCAATGCGGATGCTGCACAAGTGAACAAAAACAACAACCTCGTTTCCGATGAACTACTCAAGAAATACAAAATGGATTAAATTGAAATTTCGTGCAATTAGTTTTCACGATGTGTGGCATGAGTAGTTAGAATCGCGTGAGAAACCGTGGAGCTACAAATATAATATGATCGTAACAATCTAGTGTTTTAAACGTTAAAAATCCATGTTGACTTCCATTAGGATTGTATTTGTTGCAAATAAAATCTTGTATTGTTACTTTCATAATAGCTTGATTATTTGACGTTTTTTTTCTGAAATTAAATCTTTTGATACCAAACATCATGACAAATGAGTGTACGAAAATTCATTTTAATGTAACGTTTATTTCTTGAGTTGTTGGCCCCAAATCGGGTTAGGTGGTGGAGATCGAGACCACTATAATAGAGGGCGCGCCACATAAATAGTGGTCTTAACAACGCATCAACACGGATGCTGCACAAGTGAAGAAAAAGAACATGCTCGTTTCCGATGAACTACTCAAGAAATACAAAATGGATTAAATTGAAATTTCGTGCAATTAGTTTTCACGATGTGTAGCATAAGTAGTTCGAATGGCGTGAGAAACCGTGGAGCTATAAATACAATATGATCGTAACAATCTAGAGTTTTAAACGTTAAAAATCCATGTTGACTTACATTAGGATTGTATTTGTGGCAATTAAAATCCTGAATTGTTACGGTCATAAAGCTTGATAATTTGACGTTTTTATTTTGAAATGAAATCTTTGATGTCAAACATCGTAACAAATGAGTGTACGAAAATTCATTTGAATATAACGTGTATTCAGTGGCGTAGCCAGGAATGTTTCAGTGGGGGCGCTGGGGGACCTGGAACATTTCATGGGGGGGGGGGGGGGGGGAGCGTCATGTAGATCAATGATAATTCTTTTAGAAACTCAAAATCTCAGGGGGGGGGGCGACTGGGGGGGGGGGCCACAAGATTTCATGGGGGGGGGGGGGCTATCGCCCCCACGCCCCCCTCTTTTGAAACCCGGAAGGCCAGTTCTCTTTATTGTTTTTGATGAATTTACTCTACAAGGTATACATTTTGGACTTTTAGTCTGCCCTTCATGAATATAAAAATATTTAATTAGGTTTAATAGATGATATGTGAACACAACGTTTCGATTTGGAGTACGGTGAAATCTATCGCGATTCTACCGCGATAGGTCAATACAGCGGCGATGCATGGCGATGGCTCTCGTCTCATTGATACAACGCCTACTTGGATTGGTCTGTGTTGCCATCATAGCGCTAACGACATTTCCTATTGGATGAATTTCCATTGTTTTTGGAGATGCATATGTACACATGTGATAATCACTGCCACATATCTTGCAGCATGTACTGGCGCGCGCGACACGCTGCTGCTCTCAGTATATACTGCATAGGGACACATTTACCAGGGGGACACTTTCACCGTTGGGCAGGGGGACAATTTTACCTGGAGGGGGACAAATCTACCTAGGTAAAAGTGTTCCCCTCGGACACATTTACCGGATCACGAGCCGGTAAATGTGTCCGGGGGAACACATTTACCAGGGGGACAGAATTACCTGTCACACCGGCTACGTCGGAGATAAACCAAAGAGCCGAACCGCGGTTTCGAAAACGACCAATGATTTTAGCGCCCTCTATAAAGTTGTACGTCGAGCGAAGGCGCTCTTTTACCAGTTATTTCCCGCGAAACCCGAAGTTTTGGACGGACAGTGGCAGAAAACGTAAGGATTTCTAATCGAATTGTTTTACATGTTCTGTTCGTAAATCAAAACCCTGCCATCTTCATCCCGAGATCTAGAGTAGAACTAGAACTTTAGTCTAGCATGGAACTTAACATCCACACCTGTCACATCATGATCATGAAATCTTTCTGGCGCGGCGATTGTGGACTAGCCCCGGCCATAATGTGGCCAATTTACTAGGGCATTGTACTAGGCATGCTAGGCCTACCTCCGTAATAAAGGCCACACTTCCACCATGTACAAAAACATGTCAAACTTTGTCAAATTTTGAATTTCACATTTAGGCTTAGTTTGTAGTTTATTAAGCATACTCACCCTCTTTATATTATAGGCTATTAAATCAGAAAGTGCTGCCTTTTTCAGATGTTTAATTTTCGTGAAATTTCATGTTGAAATTTTGATACGCAAACGTTAAACGTGTGCAAACAAATTTGGAAATGTTACGAAAAATATACATCTGAAAAAGGCAGCACTTTCTGATTAGCCTATTAAGAGTGTGAGTATGCTTCTAAAGCAAAAATAAACTACAAACAAACTAAGCCTAAATGTGAAAATCAAAATTTGACAAAGTTCGACATGTTTTTGTACATGGTGGAAGAGTGGCCTTTATTTACGGAGGTAGTCCAGTAAATCGGCCACATTCATGGGGCTAGACTAGGCCTAGGCCCTAAGCATGCTAAGTAACAAGTTAGAGGGGCACTAGGCCTAACTTGTTTTACTTGCTTACTTATCCTTTTTCAAACATTTGGTTGAAAGGGACCAACGGAAATCTCACCGTTCCCTGAGAATTTTTTTTAAAAACCTGCCTGTTTACATCGGACACAACGGAGTACGAATACGTTTTTCCTGTTGTTTGCCATGTACAATATACATGTACACGATGTGTGTGTGTCTACCTTGTCTACAGCACTGCTCGCGAGCATCGCTGACCAATCACCAGTGCACAAAATATGGTTTCTTACACATGTTACACGTCCGCAAAAGGCGAACACTTTACTGATGAAATCACAACTAGCAGTACTAGCACCCAAACAGCTTGACTTTTTGGGGTCGCAAAAGTGGACCCCGAAAGTCATTCTCGCATGCATAATTGGTAACGAGCGATGCAACCAGGCCCAGTAGGCTGGTTCCAAATAGTCGACTAGCATAGTCAACCATGGTCGACTAGGCAGAGTTCGGGCTAACTTAAGTTGAACTATGGTTAACCATTGGTCAACAATAGTTCTTGCGCGAACTTGTCCTTTAGTTGCCTGCATTGATTATCCATATGTACCAATGAAATACAATGTGTGCAGGGGTGTGAAATCTCAGCTTTAAAGCTGATTTCAGCTTTTTTTGTTTTGGATTTCAGCTATTTTCCCTCACTTGCTGTGTACAAAAGTATAGGAGATTTCCAAAGTTCAGCTTTTTTTTACACCTTTTTCAGCTGTTTTCAGTTATTTTTGTCAGAGGTCACTCACACCCCTGTGTGTGTGATATTTCTTTGTCTCCTGGCCTTCCAGAGTTAACTATCAGTCGTCAGGATGCAGTCCATATCTCTTGACATGGATGAGGTACATGGGGCCGAGGATGGTTATATCAGTGACGAGGAGTTCCCCCCTCTGGCTGGTGACTTGCCCCCGCTGTCGCCCACGAGAAGCACTGCTGGACACGTGGGAGAAGATGACAATGCCTTAGGCAATTGGGCAGGTAAGTACGGTGTATAAGGATTAATAAAGGGTTGTTCTATAAATTTGGGGTCCACTTTTTGTCACTGTCTTAACCATACCAAACCCTTGAAAATACAAGTGCATGTTTTGGAGAATTTACTAAGTAATTTGTCAAGTTGGTCAGGGTACCTGATCCCATAATCTTGAACCGGTTCCCGACATCAGCGGTCGGGTACTACTCTGGTACCCAGTTCTGATGTACACCCCTGTCGCTTATAAAAAGTTGCAATCATTGTTATTAATGAGCTAAGTTTGCAGACAACAAGCATCTTTGGTCTTTCGTGGGCAACCTCAAGTCATTTTGCATTTAGTTAGAAGTTGTACGACATTAATTTTTTTTTCTTGGATCTTTTAGGAAGCGATGCAGACAAGGAGAACCAGGGAGACAAAAAGCGCCCTCGTAGGCTCGTCAACAGAAAGCCGCAACCCAAACTGGATGCTGTACGGTAAGCCAAAGCGGCCCGATAATTTTCTTGTTTTTGTTTTAATTCTAATTCTTTGAAGAAAATAAAAAGAATCAAAATTCTTTGTTTATCTTCAGTTTGAAGGTGTTCGGGAAAGATTTGTGATACCAAATAAGTGAGTTAAAAACCAAAAAAACAAATATCACTCGGGGGTTTAAGACTGGTTCGTACTTCTTGGATACAAATACGAAACAAAATTCAACACCGGCATGAGACTTTTCAGACGTTTGTCTGAAATCAGACTTTGAAAATCTGAGAGAAAGACATTAGTATAGAAAGATATGTATTTCTCAGACATTTAGTCAATTTTCAGACTTTTTTCAATTAACAATCTCACCCCTGTCAACGTCATGAAGCAGTTTGCAACAAGATTTGGTTCTGAGCAATGTGTTCGACTCTTGCAAATTTACTTTTATGTCAAAATTATGGTTTCATGCCAAATTTCAACTGGCCTTAAAGTAGATGAATCCTTTGTGTTAAACTGAGGGTCAAAACTTGTCGTTTTTTTCCAGGCTGTGCTCGGATAGAGGCCTGCCCACCCTCAGCAAGCACTTTGAGCAGGTCAAGTTCAAGGGCAAAGGTCACGAGGTCGGTGACCTGAACCGCCTGATGTCCACTATGGAGCACTGGGCCCACCGGCTCTTCCCCAAGATGCCGTTTGATGAGGTCATCGAGAGGATCGAGAAGCTGGGGAAAAAGAGACAAGTTCAGGTATGGCTCTGTGTGTTATTTCATGGCAAGAAAAATAAAATAGGTCGGGCTCGTACTTTCAGAAATACTTGATCTGACATCACAAAATGAGCATAAAGTCAGACTTTTTTTAAGAATTCAGATATTTGCATATCTGGATTCTGCAGAACAAGAGCTTTCCAATGGTGTATAACATTTGGGGTACTGAGTTTAGTAAACAGAATTGTTATACCTCTGTCTTGAATACTGTATTTTCATTGGCCTAGAACAATCACGTGTTAATGTTATAAAAAGTCATGGTACACTCTCTGTGGGATATCACGTACATGATATCCCACAGGGAGTGTGCTATGACTTTGTACATATGGTACGTACGGTGTGAAACGCTTATATCGTTGGTACCCACGCTATTTTCACCATGTTTTCACACGAGTGAGAGCAGTGAACTAGCAGACGATCAGCTGTTTCGAGCACGCGACATGCATGTGAGTTAGCGTTTGATTGTCAAGATTGTTGTGTTTACTGCTGTTTGTTTTCGTGATTTTTATATCAAAATCCAAAGAATCCAAGACAGAGGTATTCGCCTCGGGTGCTTTGCGCCCCTCGGGTGTTCAAAACGTCATATCCCACATCACAGCTGTCAACAATTGTTAAATATAGACCGCCAACTAAATTTTGAGAAAGTGGCATTTACAAATCCTGCTGTTGTATTACAGTGAGTTATTGGAATTTCTGTTTGTTTTTGCAAGACCTGCATCAAGAAGATCCGGCTGGACATGCCACTAATGGACGAGGACTACGAGGAACAAGAAGCAGGTCAGGCTAACTTAATTAAAAAGGAATACGAAACAACGCTGATTGATGATTCAGTTCAGAGCGTACTGCATGCATATTACAAAGGCTGCACGCACTATATGCGCTCGCGTTATCTCTGCACGTCACATCACGTACGAACATATTTTTTTCAAGACTATGCAATGCCTCTACGATCTGGAAAGTCTGGACAGCTCATTTTTCACCAAAAATACCTGTTTTTTCGTGTTGGAAAAGGGACAACAGAGGTACGCACATTATAAATTTCAGCAACACGACATCGAAATGTCACTTTTTGAAAGGATTGATTCTACAAAAATAAAGTTCAAAATTGAAAGCACTGATTTAATTGCTTGGAGCAGTTTTCCATAAAAATCTGCCGTGGGTCCCTCCGACGGAGTTCTCAAGTGTTGTCATGAAGGGCCGTCCATCAATTGTTCATGCATTGAGTCCATATTGTTCTTTTCCCTTCTTGTACAGAACCAGAGGGCAGTGATGCCCTAAATGGCCGCGGCGACGACGAAGTCGAGATGGATGCTTTCAGCCAATCAGCTGCTCCACCGTCGCAAACCATGGCAACAGCTGTTGCCGACACTAGTGTAAGTTTGCCTACTAAGTTCAAGGGGAGTCAGGTTTGCTTGTGGTTCTGTCCTCGCCTTCCACCTCTATGGCCAGGGTTTGATTTAATAGACGTTTGTCACCAGTTAACTTTAACCCTCTTGTGCAAATGTACATGCCGTGCCAAGTTGTCCTTTCAGTCAAAATCGATCAAGTGACCGTTTTCAACAGTTAAGAGCTCCCAGCCAACTTAAAGCAGGATTGACTGGCTGTGATTGTTTATGTAACTTGATACATCTGTGCTTTGACTGTAGGTGATTGATAAGCCAGCTTTGCCTACCACTTGCCTGTTTTTGTCTGTTAACTGAATTTGACTAGTCACAGTGCTTGCTTGAAATATGATCCGACTGTTGGTGACTAGCCTGTGTAAAAGGCATGGCAAGGGAAGAAGATTGAGTTTTGGACTGTTCAGATAATTTATATTTTATATGACCAATGTAAACCATTTTTCAGGTAAAAAACAATACACATTTTTTCTCGTGCTGGAGTTGCTTTTTAAACTGATGCGATTCCTTTATGAGAGGGTTTTTATCCTTCAATAATTGACACAGGTCTCGCTATCTGATGAACAAAAGGAGAGAATGGAACGGAACAAGCGTCTGGCCATGGAACGTCGCAAGTCCAAGGGGCCGGCCACTCCGGCCGGCCACCAGGCACCAATCACGGCCGACGAAATCCAGGACCTGGAGAGAGAACACGCCGACGAAGAGGACATGGAAAATGAACTGTGGAACGACATCGCCATGTTTGAGGCTGACCAGAGAAACATCTGGAAAACCTCGCCGGCAGAAACGGCTGCAAAAGAGACTGATTCAGTACAAACGCCTGCCAGTAAGGAAACGACAGGGATAGCAAACAACCCGGCACGGCCAGAAGACGGTCAAAGATTGTCACAAGAAATCATCGACATTGATGCACAGGTCTTGGAGGAAGATACTGAAATTGTTCAAGGAGAAAAGGAAGCTGGATTTGAAGAGGTGATTGATGTAGACAGAGGGGCTGAGGAAGAGAAAACTAATGTGCTGAGGAAAGATTCTAAGGAGGTTGTTGACACGGACGACGAAGACATGGATGAAGAAAGAGGAACGCTGGCTGAGGAGAAGAGAGATGAGATTGTGGAGACTGTCGATGTGGATGCGGAGAACCAAGGAGACAAATTGGATGATGAAGCAAAAGAGGATGGAGAAGGGAACATGAGCTCAGATTTGGTTCTGAAATGGGACTCGGAATCAGCAGACGAGAGTATGATCATTCAGGAACCACAGGAATAAATAAAGTGATGGACAGGACAGGACAGAATGTAATGGGCTCCGTGCACAAGTATCCTCTCAACAGCAAGACAAGAAGAGTTGGGGGAAGACCACTGGGAGAGACTTTTCATGCATAGCCCGACACGTGATTGTGTAGTGAAGGGCCAGTTTTGTTTTGATTTGATAAAATTAGAATCAAGAGGTTTTTTTAATTACTCAAAATAACATTTTCAACTTAAAGCAAACTTCTCTCAATAAAATGACACCTACTTGTAATTTTTGAACAGTTTCTTGGGGTAGAAATTACGATTTTGCTACGCGGTTTTTGGTTGGTTCCGTGCGATTTAGCACGCCTTGCGCGCCCACGGTACATTGCGCGGTAATCGCTATCTTTATTTTCGAGTTGCGTTTTGTCGTTGTCATCGTCATTTTACCAGCAAATTTCCCTCAAAAATTCAAAATCCTACCATTTATCTATGACATACCTGTATGTCATACATATCTTAATGTCGCCAACTAGTTTGGTAGGTCAAATAATTTAAAAGTGGATTTTGCTCCCATATAGGAACCGGGCCCGTAGATACATGATCGTCTACGAGAAGATGCTATGACTTTATGCACTTTCAGAATATATTATCAGCTGTACGTACTTCACGCTGGGTGACAACTGGGCTCTTGAAAATGGCAAAAAGTGCCCCCTCCTGGTCACACACAGAGCCCATAGGTTGCAGAGTTGCCATCCAGGATGAACAGGCTGAAACTTCAGGCAAAATAGATGGGAAAGCTGAGACAGTGTTGGCAGAAAGGGGGAGGGGGGGGGGGAATGCAGTGGAAGTTTTATTAGGAAATGTTGAGGCAACATTAGTAACCCGGCCACTTACCCTATACCCAACTCACTGAAAAGAGAACAAAGCTGCCGAAGCCAAAAATAAGGCTCTGGTTTTTGGTTTGCGCACGCAATTAAAAAGTTGTTTTGAATGTAAGTTGATGTCTCAAAACTGCCAAACTCACTGGTGCTGCTGCATAATTTTAACGTGTTTTTAGATGGGGTTACGATTTGAGTATAAGCTTATATACTTATATCAAGTATAAGTATGTAGCCTCTCTGGGCTCCCATATATTTTGCACTAAATTTAGTCGAGCACCATTTGCAAAAATATATTCTAATAAATGCAATCACCAGTATCGTGCTGAGCAGAACCAAAAAAAATTAACAAAAATTGTGAGTGCTAAATTTCATTTTCATTGCATAGTTTTCAATGTTAATTTACGATTCTGTCACTGACAATGTACAATACATGTTATTGGCAATTGTGTAAGGTGTCCTGAACGTAATCTTTATTTGTGTAAATAAACAGCAACGTCAAGTGTTGAAAAACTCTTTAGCAGATGTGCAACCGCCATTTTCTCACGGTCGTTGACATGACAATAGTTCATCAACTAGAGTTGTTCGCACTTCCACTTTAGTGCACATGCGCTAGGTACGTCACGAACCAACTTCTAGTTAACCAGTAGTCCTTGATCGTACTTGCCACCTGCTGATTTCTCCGGATGTCAGAGTCTAATTTTTTTGGTCTATTTCAGATATATTTTTTGTTATACCACACAAAGTGAAGTTTGCCCTTTGTAGGCATTTTGACACGGTATAAAAGGTACTTGTGACATCAATGATATGCATTATATCAAAGGCAAAAACACCGACTCAATGTGAAGCCATTTAATATTTCTTTAATTTGATATTTGTTTAAGAAGAATAAAAAAAGATGATCCCTGAATTATTTTCTACAATTCGTCGTACTCTCTCCTTCCATGGGCAGGTGTATTGACATATCAAAATACCCACAGCCTTTCGTCCATGCCTTTTTAGGTGTGGTACCCAGAAATATAAATCTTGAAATTTAGTCGCAGACTGCGTCTCAGTTTTTTATTTTTCTCAAATGCAATGAACAAGCAACTGAGAAAATCAACAGCTATGGCCACCCACACTTTTGGACCACACTTGCTCGTTTCCCATTTTCAAAACGATTGGTCACATTCATTGAAATGGCTAGACTGTCTCAGAACTGACTGCAGAACAAGAGACATCTCACTGTCAGAAGCAAGTCGGCTGGCGTCCCACAGAAGTGTTTGGCAGGACATCATGAAGCAGAAGCCATCACGCAGCCTGCTGGTGTGGAAGGCTTAGGTCAAGGTAGTTCGGTCAATCTTGGCCAAGTTCACGCAAGGACTATAGTTGACCAATGGTTAACTAACGTTTGCCCGAACTCTGTCTAGTCGACGGTTGTTGACTACGCTAGTCGACTATTTGGAACCAGCCTTCTGGGGTTGGTTGCTTCGCTGGTAACCAATAGCCGTGCGCATTCATAACGCTAGCAGAGAGCCAGGATCCAGAAGTTTTGCGATGACATTTTGACCAGCGTTTGACTAGAGACGTTCGCACGTCGCTATCAGTGCGCAGGCGTAAGGTACGTCACAAATCAACCACTAGTCGACTAATGGTCCTTGCCCGAACTTGGCCCAAACGTGTGGCAGAAGTGCCAGAATCCACTTCCCATACAGGTGTGTGTGTTATTGCAAGTCGTAGCCAACTAATTCCGACACGGCCTGAGCCCTAGCCGGGCCCAATCTCTTGCAAGCCCATCCCTGCAAACTCCTGCAGAAGACAATACAAGCAGCCGAATCCACTTAATACAGACGTGTGTGATGGTAAGCCGTAGCCAAGTAATTTGGATGCAGTCTTTGCACCTTTCGACTCTACTCCCCATAGATGGGTGTGTTACTGCATGTCATAGCCCCGAAATTTTGGACAAAGCCTTAGCTCGTTTTATCCAGTCTCATCGTCTTGCAAGCCCATCGCTGCAAAGTCGTGCAGTGGAATCCACTTTCCATACATGCATGTGTTACTGCAAACTATAGCCAAATCATTCCAATCCGCTCCCCATAGACAGATGTGTTATTGCAAGTCGTAGCTAATTGATTCTAGCCCAGCCTGAGCCCTAGCCGGGCTCACTCTCTTGCAAGCCCATCTCTGCAAACTCCTGCAGAAGGCAATACAAGCAGCCAAATCCACTTCCCATAGACGTGTGTTACAGCAAGCCGTAGCCAAGTAATTTGGATGCAGTCTTACATCATTCCAGTCTACTCCCCATAGTCGCAGCCAATTATTTATTCTGACCCAGCCTGAGCCCTAGCCCTAGCCGGGCTCACTCTCTTGCAAGCCCATCTCTGCAAACTCCTGTAGCAGACAATACAAGCTCTTATGGCTCTCCGTCTGGCCATACTCCTGCCTGAGCTGACCAATGCTGCTGCCCAGGACATCCGTGGTCTCATACATGTCACCCGGTGGTGTCTCATGCTGCTCTCCCGATATGCTGGTAACCTCCTAATGTGACAAAAACAGAAAGATTAGAAGCACATAAAGACGTTTTTTTAGGTCACACCAATCACAAGTCAAATCAGGTCACATCATAAGTCATCACAAGTTAAATAAGTCGATCTGTTTCAAGTCAAGTGACAAGTTATTCTAATGAATTGTGACAAAAGAATTCTCTGTTATTTTTTACTGAGTTGTGATTTCACTTCAGATTTGACTTGCAATCGACTTGTATTGACTTCTCATTTGACTTACTTTGACTTCTGATTTGATTTATATCGACTTCTGATTTGACTTATTTTGGCTTGTATTTTAACGCAAGATTTGGGTGGCATGGGTGGCATGGGTGGCTAGTGTGTAAAGCGCTCGCCTCTCACCACTGTGGCCCAGGTTCGATTCCCGGTCAGACCATGTGAGTGGAGTTGTTCTTTGATTCTCTCCTGTGCCAAGAGGGTTTTTCTCCGGGCCCTCCGGTTTTCCTCCCTCTGCAAAAATCAACACTTTTGATCTCTGGCTGTGCCCCATGGTCAGACATGGGTCGTATGGTGTCAGCGTAAGACCCCTTTAATTCATGTACATGCCTAATTTGGCTTGCCCACGTCCTTCGCAATTCAGCTTTGCAATTGCGAGTAAGGATGATTAGCCCCCCAAATTATCATAATTTAGTATCATTTGACTAGTGATTGCTTTGAGATTGACTTGTGATTTGACCTGTTTGACTTGTGACTGCCTTGAAATAGACTTGTGATTGAATTAAGATTGACTTATGACTTTTGTTTTGATCATTTTGTGACCTCGGTATCACGATACCAGTCGCCTGGTAAAAAGTGGTATAGTTATAGATTCCTGATGAACTTTGAATTTGGATTTGCACATGCAATCTGATAGAGAATCTGACAGAGAATCCACAATTGAGGAAAACGTCCAAAGGAACTCACCTGTACAATGTCGGTGCGTAGACCATGTCCTTGTTCCATGAGCTGGCTGGCTAGATGTGGCCGTGTGGATATCAACTCAAAGTGGAGAGACTGGGCGTGTGATCTTGAGGATTGCACAGAGATTCGAACCTGGAATAACGACAGAAAAACAATTCAAATTCATTAAAATGTACAATTGCGTGACCACACATGTTTGTGTTACATACAACCATTGTGTACGTGTTCTACATAACCCCTGAGGACCAACACACAAAGTGAGAACAACAGATCCTTTCAGTCCTCAGAATTGGGTCTTTTGTTCAAAACGGTCCTCTGTAGTAGGTTTGTGTGCTAAGTCTGTGGAAGTGTGTTATATTACAGGGACAAAGGGAAACACAAAGCATTGTCCTCGGGAGTATGGTAAAACAAGAGTGTGTACACATTCCTGTGTTCTTGTGTAGTTAAGATATAGTACATTTAAAAATGTTGCCACTTGTGTAAGGGCAGTGCAGTCACTACGTGGACCTGTGAACAAAAGAAGTCCACACAATGCAGGAGCTAATACGACGGTATGTGGACTTGCACGGGTCCACATAATGTTTTCCGCTTTCTGAAAAACAATGTTAGAGGCACTTTGGGGTCAGGATTATGCGTAGCAAAGTGAAGTAGAAAGTGAAGGAAATCAAGGTCAAAAATTCACTTTCAAACAATTTTTTTTGCAGTTCAAGTGACAACGTTTTTAAACATGTTAATTCTTAACTACATGAGAACAAAGGAATAATAATAATAATAACAATAACGGGTTCTTATATAGCACTTTCAACTGAGATCAAAGCGATTTAAATTATTATTACCCCTGATCATTGGGCCAATTAAACATTCCAAATACCATCTCAGCTCCCTGGGGAGTATACAGCTCGATGCAGCCTGTTAGACGCAAGGAAGCTAATTCAATCACAATAACCATCTCTGCCCTCACAGGTACCCATTTACTCCTGGGTGGAGAGAAGCAATGAGTGACAAAGTGCCTTGCCCAAGGGCACACGCATCATGACCCCAGGCTGGACTCGAACCCACAACCTGCAGCTTTACCCGCAGACCACGAATCCAATGCCCTTAACCACGAGGCCACAGCACTCCACTGTCTACTACTACAGCCTGTAATACACACATGTTCTTAAGAAGTAGAGTCAGACAGCAGCAAAGCAAAGGTTAACTATATGCCATTTCAAAGATTTTTTTTTCTTTTGGAAATAATATAATGTAACAGTTAATAAACACAAGTAAGGGAAAGATTTTACATACTGTCACATGGTCAAAGAGACTAAAAGTTGATTGGCTGGTGGCGGTTGTCGCGGTGATCGCATAGGCAGTTCTGGTCACTGAGCCTATAATCAAAGGTGGAAAAAAAATGGCGTTAGTTTTTTACCCGACAGTGGAGGTGTTTGCGGAGGGGGGGGGGGGGGCAGAATCTGTGCCCCTTCACATTTCTTTTTCCATATTCATCACGACGGATGTCTGGCAGAAGGAAAATGCAATCGCTTAAGGATGGAAGCACAGAATATTCATGATAATAGCTTCAAAACTCTTGGCTTTAGTTGAGATAACGCTTTATTTGTTGACTTAACTCCGTCATTGCATTTCTGAGATCGGAAGGGCGTAGGGAATCCCCCATTCACAATGATAAAGTCAATTCAAGGTGAGCATACAGTGAAATCTCGACCAGTCAAAACCCGTTAAATCAGAACCCTTCTAACTCAAAGTAAACACTTATTCCCGTCAATTGTTGTTGAATAGAAAATCCATAGGATAACTCCAAACTCTGCTTAACTCAAAATTGGAGCCAATTCCCCTGAGGTTTGACTTATTGAGATTCCACCGTATCTGCCTTTAATGTACACTAAAACTGTATGAGCACCACAGAGCTATATTAAATTACTAGAGCGCTAACTCCTCATTCTTGCGCGCGGAGATGCTTTGAAGCCGTCCTGGGAGCAGATATTTTGAATTCATGTGTGTGTTTGTAGAGTATAATGAAATTAGATGGCTTGAATTTTGAAAGTGTACTCTAAATGCGTAAGTAGAACGTACGAACAACTTAAGCGCGTCATTACAGTTTAAAAAAAAAGAAGGTTAATCATCTCCAGCGGATACGCACACGCATTGCGCTGTTTGTGTAGAGCAAAATGACACGCTCATTTGCTGATCGAGCGTTTTGGTTTTGGCCGTATCAGCTTCGATAAAGCACCAGTATGGAATACAAACGCAGATATGCAAATAGCCGTACAAAAGCCGTACAAAATTTTGAGTTTTCCATAGGTTTGTGCACAAACATGGATGCGCCCAGCAGGCATCACTTTGTACATGAGTCAGCGCTCTAGTAATTTAATATAGCTTTATGATGAGCATGCATCTACAGATGTTTTCCAACATCAGTCTGAAAGCTAATCGCTAACCTGCTGTCCATGTTGGCTTGCCATCTTCTGAAAGGTCACACACGCGTCCTTCTTTATCCTTCAATGACACAGCTCCCTTTATGCCATACCTCAACAATTAAATAAAGAAAAAAGATAGAGTTAAGGGTTAGATTGTTAAACGTTTTCAGCCATGGGCCTTATGCACAAGCTGGCCATTTTTGTCGTGTTCCCTGAATGTATTTCATAAATTGTGAACTGTTGAATGGGATGGTGCCAGACTATTTATTCACTATAGCCTCACTTTCATTTTTTTTCTAAACGTGACTTAACACATTACAGTATGTTTAATCACAAATTTTAAATTATTGGTCAGAGCAGACTGGTATTAATTTGTAACGTCATTGCTTTCATTTCTCTACACAAGTTCCAAAAATGAAGATTTTATCTCACTCTCAATCCAATATGGCCGACTCGTGAATAAGGCTCATTAGTTTGTTTTTGTCGACTAGACTAGCCCAACAACAGTTGACTACTGTGGGTTGGAGCAAATATTGTCTGTGCATAAAAGCAATTTGGAACATTTGCTTTTTGTGCCATATTTTTTCGTTATTGCTCAAAATCTTAAGAAGAGTGTACAACTAACTTGTGGAAGTTTCAACTCAGTTGAACTATACATATCGAGAAAACAGAGGGAATGTATGCACAATTTTGGGGGTCTTTCGGGGTCTTGTAACTGGATTCCGTTGCTAATGTAAAAAAAACAAAAACGTGCCCAGGGATATAGGTTTCTAAAAACCACCTTCAATTATTTTTTCTTCTTCCGAGTGATACCATTTCAGGCGGAGCAACTTCACAGGGTATTGACCAATCGCCATTTGCGAGTTAGCCACAGCTCCTTAGACAGCCCTATGGAATTTTGTACATTTACGTTTTGTTTGTCTCTGATTTTGCGCATTTCGCGCCATTTTCATATCATGTAATTGGATAATATTTCACAAGCAGCGTTGACGCGATTCTACCGCGATAGGTTAATTGACCTATCGCCATTTGCCAGTTAGCCACGCCCCTTAGACAACCCTATGGAATTTTTGTACACTAAGTTTTGTTTGTCTCAGATTTTGTGCGTTCTGCGTCCATTTGTATATCATGTAATTGGACAATATTTCACAAGGTGCATTGACACGATTCTTAACACGATTCTACTGCGATAGGTCAATTTGGTACCAGTCCTATCTTCACTTTGAGCAAAGATTTTCTTGTTAATCGGTAGGTACGTTTCTGGGTAATGGCAAATTGTCCCTTTGTGCCTTGCTCACAGCTTCTGCCAGTTATGCCACCCTACTCAATCTTTGAAGATACATTCAATAAGAACCAAGAAACAACAGGGGAGGGGGTGGGAGGGGGGCATTCTTACCTTGGGATGAAGATGAGGAAGCCATTGGCCCTGAGACTGTGGACCACGGCATCCACTGTACAACACTCGTCAGTCGTTGGGTCCTTGTCCTTAAAGAACAGTGCCTGAAACAATGCCTGCGAGTCCTGCTGGGCATGCTGGGAAGCCTGCAATGGACCAATCATAATTGAAATTGGGGAGAAGAAGGACCGCGAAACAAAGACATTTTGTTTGAGATTCTTAGGCAGTTAGGAAGAGAATGGACTGCCAAGTCATCGCAAATCTCCTGGTTTCCATGCCGAGGAGAATAAACGGTTGGTCAAGACCGGCTAGCTCGTCTTACACACTTTTCCAGTGTCGCATAAAATTTGGACTCCTATCAAATCCGGTGTCTTTTACCGTTTTATTGGTTGAACGTACACAATCCTCTTGTAGACATGTGCAATTCTGCCAGTGAGTCAGTATTTCATTGTCCTAAATTCACAATACACCGGCACAGCTGCGTTCTGCAAGACATCGCGCAGTACACGCGACGCACGCACCAATATCCATATAAGGAGTTGTTTACGAAAACTTGCGCGAGGGAGATACCATAATATAGCAAGAGGGGTGTTTTGGAGTGAAAAGTTTTGATTTTTTGACCGAAAAGTTTTAGACTGGTTGTAGTCTAGATGCTGAAAATAACCCTCCCCTTCGGCTCGGGTAATTATCAGCATCCAGACTCCAACCAGTCTTAAACAGAGTGTTTAAAACCTGCCAAGCACATATTTATTCCCTTATTATTAAATTACCACACAATATATACCTTACCCTGTGTCTGTTATTGATGTGGCCACACAGCTCCTCTAATGCATTGTTGCTAAGCAACGACAGCCCGTCACCATGATCGTCAGTAATGGCTGCCATTAACAGACGATGCACCTGAATGGTGACAAGGAATGTACGTTAGCTTAAAAACAAATTGTAAAGACTTTGCAAATATTGAATAAAGCACACACATGAGTGGTCCTTTGGATTTGTCTGACTTTTTTGTAAAGTACTACATGTAATATTTTTTTTTTAAATCCCTGCCCAAAAATTCCAGTTTTGATGACCCCCCCCCCCCCCACACACACACAAAACTAGCTTACAAACAGCACTGAATATTAGAGTCATCGAATCAAAGTCTATATACAGGGTGAGTAAAAAAAAAAACCGAAACCCAAATGTCAGGACTACTGTTTTATTGAAGTTCTGCATGTAGCACTTTCAAAATCTAGGATATGAAAGCCCAATTCATCAGCTTTCCTTTAGTAAAAAAATCATGTACTTTTCAAGTTACGGAATTTTTAACACAACCACCATTTTAAGGTTCTGTCCACAGATCACAAAAAAGGTGTGCGTTCTTTCAGCAAAATGAAAACAATTCACACACTTCTTTTCATTTTGTTGAAAGAACACTGATCTTTTTTGTGATCCGTGGACAGAACCTTAAAACGGTGGTTGTGTTTAAAATTCTGTAACTTGAAAAGTACATGAGTGATTTGAATGATTCTTGTACTAAAAGAAAGCTTAAGAATTGGGCTTTCATATCCTACATTTTGAAAGTGCTACATGCAGAACTTTCCTAAAACAATGGTCCCAACATTTGGGTTTCGTTTTTTTATACTCACCTTATACATGTACTTATTTTTTATTTATTTTACTTACAATAATATCAGCATATCTTCTGATGGGTGAGGTGAAATGCGTGTATCTGTCCAGAGCAAGACCTACAGTCAAATTATAACAGTCAGATGTTTATTTATTTATTTAAAAATAAAAGACAATTGTATGCCGAGTTTATCAGAACCACTACTGAAACAGTGGCTCATGCTTCCCGCGTGGCAACTTAATCTACTGGTAAACATAAAGGGAATATACAACATTTGCTTTTGCTGTAGTTTTCAGAAATGGATGGATTGAGGGGGTTAGTATTTTATAGCAAATATTGTTACACTGACTTAATTGAAGTTTTTGGTTCGTAGATGCTGGAGAAACCAAGAAAAACAATCATATTCTTGTAGTCTGGTTCCCTGACCCCCCCCCCCCTTCAGGAGCAATTCATAGATGTCGGGGAATTGTAAGGTCAGGGAACCAGTCTAACTGGCTTGTACCCATTCATAGGTGTGTAATTGATTGCAAACAAAATGCGGACTAACTAAAGATGATACAATGTGAGCAGTATTTGAAACAAAGCCAGTTTTTTCCAATGCTGGTCGGCCGATCAGCATTGGAAATAAATACAAAAATATCACTATTCTTGAAAATGACTGCACACCAGGTGCCATGATTTCACAGGATACTTAAGACTGTAATTCACTAACAGTCCAGTAAGGTATTTCGTGATAATTTTGTAATTAAGTTTTTTTTATGTTTGTAAATGTTGTATATTACTTTTAAAGGGAATCTACATCATTGGCTTTTGCTGTAATTTTCAAAAATGAACTATTTTGAGGGTTTAGTATAACAGATCAAATATTGTTACACTGACATGTTTGAAGTTTTGTGTTCGAAAATGCTGGAAAAACCAAGAAAAACAAAAATGTTCAAGTAGTCTGGTTTCCTGACTCCACTAAAGATGAAATGGATCAATTTATAGGAAATTGTACGGTAATGGAACCAGTCTAACTGGCCTGCACCCGTTCATGAACACCAATAGCAAACAAAATTTGGACTGAAAAAAAAGGGGAAATTTGGAGCAGTAGTTGAAAAATAGTTAGGTTTTTCCAACGGTGGTCGGCCGACCACCGCTGGAAATTTTTACAAAATACCACTTTTCTTGAAAATGACTTCACACCTGGTGCCATAATTTTACAGGATGCTTTAGACTGTCATTTACCAACATCCTAGTAAGGTATTTTGTAAAAAATTGGTAGTTTTGTTTTTCGATGTTTGCAAATGTTGTATATTCCCTTTAAACACAATAACATTTTATGCTAAAAAGTTAAACATTGAAACTAAAAACAAAAGGGCAAGAATGATGAGGGAGCCATACCATAATGGAAGAACTGATCTCTGGGCAGACTACCAGTTGAGAAATACAACGCATTGGACATGGCCTTGGTCGCCAGTGAACGCAGGATCTTATTGTAGACGGGATCCTTGGGGTCAACGCACTTGTCTAGAGAATCGGCAAGTGCCTTGTTGGAACTGAGAGAGGAAAACAACAATGAGTAGAAGACTGAGAAGTTTTCATGATGATGACTGCTGGGACTAAAAATTCACAATGCAATACAGGGTGAGTAAAAAAAGCGGAACCCAAACCCAAAAAACTATATTTCATATTTAACAAAATATGTAGCATCAAAAATAATAATGGCCGGAAACCAATTTCATAAGCTACTCTTAGATGAAAAAATTATCAAAATTGCTCAATCCGTTCAAAGAATATCACCATTTAAACACAATGACCCTAGAACCTCCTTCGATAAAACCTCAGTTTAAAAGTTAAAAAATATTCAACAAAGTTTCGTCTTTTAAAAGGCCCGTCTTTTAAAACAAAAAGTGGATTTTAAAAATCATACTGTTTGCCTATCCAGGGTTGTTAATAAAAATATTGTGTACTTCAGTTGTTGACAGTTGTTGAAGCAAGTATTATGCCATTTTCTTTGTTGTTCCATTTTCTTTGTCATGGCCTAGCGATTAAGAACACCGTACTCATGCTCTGGTGTTTCAGAGGCAACAGTGGCGTGGGTTCGAGCCTGCCGGGTGGACACTTGTGCCCTTGAGCAAGGCACTTAACCATTATTGCTTCGTCCTTCGAATGGGACGTAAAGCCTTAGGTCCTGTGTGTTGTGTAATCCAATGCACGTAAAAGAACCCAGTGACACTTATCGCTAAGAGAAGGGGTTTTCCCCAGTGTTTCTGGTCTCCTGTATAAACTCCCACGCGGAGTATTTAGGAGATGAACCAACCAAGAACAAAGAAAAGAAACGATACTTGGCAAGGCATGGAAGAGAGCCCTACAGACTAACCCTACAGATAGACAACAGCACCTGATCTTACTGCACTGTTCTCCTGCAGTTTGAGGAACAAGTCCAGCCGGAACATAACTCACAAGTGCTCTGGTAAGCCAGGGATCTATCCTACATATTACTAACAACCGTGCCTTGTAAGCAGTGCACTCTGTGCATGTTAAGAAGAGGCAAGGGTCAGAAGATGCTGATTCGAATCCCATACAAGCCTCACTGCTGTAGTTTATGATGTCACGTCCAAAGTACTTGGCTACGGCTTGCAATTACACATGCGCCTATGGAAGCGGCTTCAGCCGCTTCCCATAGACACGTGTCTCACTGCCAAGCCGTAGCCATGTGATTCGGACTAGGCCGCGGCTTCAGCCGCTTCCCACAGACACGTGTGTTACTGCCAAGCCGTAGCCATGTGATTCGGACTAGGCCTTACCTCGTGTCGATGGTGAAGCCCCTTGCCTTAGCACTATCCACCAGATCCTGGAACTGGTCCTGTCTTGGCAAGGGGTGGTGCCTTAGCTGAGTAAACAATAACAACCGACAAACAATCACTTCTAGGATCAAAGTTCAACGTCATGGTTTGACTCCAGATGTTAAAAATGAAGTCCCAAAATCTGACAGCACTGAATTATCTTATTCAGATACAAATTAATCCGATTTTTTTCAAAATACCAAACAAAGCATTGTTTTTTTAGACAGAACAACACAAATGTTTCTCCTGCGATTCACTTTGGATATAAAACAATTTTTTATATGATGGAATTTTGCGTCGGGGTGATGTAAATCAAATTAGGTTTTGCCCTTCACTGACGTATAAGCACTGAATACTCAGTGTGTTACCTCCCGAGTGAAACTTGGAAAAACCGATCCCGTAAGCTCTGTGGTCGAGTGGTAAGACCTCTGCATCACCCCAATGCAAAATTCCATCTCATGAATAGTTTAATGCGGTACCTGATGTTATGTACATCAGATTCAAACCAGACTGATTCCGTTAGCTCGGTGGTCGAGTGGTAAGACGTCTGCGCTAGAGCAAGAGGTCGGGGGTTCGAGTCCCACCCGAGTGATTTTTTCCAACTTTCACTCGGGAGGTAACACGCTGAGTATACAGTGTTTATACGTCGGTGAAGGGCAAAACCTAGTTTGATTTACATCACCCCGACGCAAAATTCGATCTGATGAATAATTTTGTGTTAATGCCATACTTTACAAATGGACCCCAACCCAAACAGATCCTTTTAAAGCCCAGAGAATGTTTGGAGAATTTTGCAGGACTAAAGAAAGTAAATTATAAAGGTAGAATGAATGTGCCACTAACTTCCTGCACAATTGCGGTCGTCTCAAGAATAATTTGGTTTGCAGGAATTATTATCAATACTGACCAGTGAACAGTTGGGGAATGCCTCTGCTATCTTCTTAGCAACCCAGTGATTGGCGAAGATCATGCTCTCCGCTATGGTCTCATGGATCTCCATGGTCTGAAACAGGAAGCCAACAAATATGAATATAAGGCCGCAGTGGTGTGCATGTAGGGGTACCCCAGTGAAGTAAAACACAGGTATATCAAGGTACCCTGTGACTGGCGAAGATCAGGGCACTCCTGTGTGGTCTAGGGGTGGGCAGGGACATTTGCCCCCCCCCCTCGAAACCATTAACAGCAATATTAACAGCAATATGACTTCGCGCCTCTTTTTCTCTCTTTTTCCCCCTTTTTATTCTCTTTCTCTTTTTGGTGTGTGGCTTTTCCGGGGGGGGGGGGGGGGGGGGGGGGACACAAGCACACCCCCTTCCCCCCTCGCATTGCCCAAGACAATTACTAAGAAATTACCCTCACATCATATCTCAATTTTAAGCCATGCCCAGAAGCATCCAGTTTTGACAGAACAACTGAGAAACAGAGAGTACATGTTGTAGAATGGCATATACAAGATTCTAGTGCAGTCTCCATTTGTTGCACTTTGCACGATGTTTAGATGACAGGACCAGCACAGCCCCATTTCATTGAGTCGTTTTCTTAGAAAATTTGTGCACACAGCAAAAAAACAGCCGAGTACCAGTCACAAGCCTGTACATTGCATGACATTTCGGCTGGTAACCTGTTTTTGCTGAGCAACTATTTTCCATGTTTAGCAAGGTTGTGTGCTTAGCAGCGCCATGAAATTTGATCTGTTTTCAAATTTTATTTTTTGAAACACAACCCTACTAGTAATGTTGGACGACCCTGTTGTAAAACATCCCCCAATTACAGCCGCTTACCTGTTTGGGGATGAGGTCTTCAATTTCTTGCTCTTCATTGAGTTCAACTTTGACCTCCACCCCTTCCAGCTGCACGGCCCCGCCCACCACCCTCCGCGCCTTCAGGCTCCTGGCGATGTCCATCAGCTTGTCAATGCACCAACGCAGCTCCCCCAACCTAATATACAGGCAATTCCTACTGCTGTTGAATCTATTCAAAACTCTTCAAAACTCTTCTGGCCACATTCCATATTAAAATGCCCTCTTTATGTTTCGACGCACAGTCACCGGTGTCGTAGCTGAGTCTTTCACAAGTCCCTTCGTGAGTAAGGCTCATTCGAGACGCCGTGCTGAACTCAATTAATTTTACTTTTTTAGTTTGGCTTTGGCAGGGTGATAGCATGGGTTCAGAACCATTTGGCTTGGCTCATTGCGTTCGGCACTGTTGCACCATCCTTTGGCTCGACAGGGCTTCTGCGCTATCGTCGTTCCGAATAGCAGTGGCATGGCACTGTTATAAATGCAGTGCCATTACCGTGCCAAATTCAATTCAATTCGAAGTTGGGGGCAAACATTTGAGGAATGCGCATGCTCACAATATCCTCTCTCGCGTCCGCATCACGGGGAGTGAAATTGGCGCAAATATTTTGAATTTTCATTGAACTGCTCCAACTTGGCCATTCATTCCAGACTCATCAAGGTCAACTACTGAGTTCGGCGTTTAGAGCAGCTGTCGTGCTGTAGACAAGCTATTGCCGCACTTATCTTAATTAAGTTTGACGCAGCAGTGGCACGGCGTCTAGAACGGGCCTAAATCACAAGTCAAAATCCCAACTCCATCGCAAGTAAAATAACAAGTCAATGGCAAGTAGGATCACAAGAAACAGGGGGATGAACCAAAACAAAAGAACGCCTTTTTTGCCACCACAGTTTGCGACTTGGCTTCAGACTGAGGGACTTGCGATTGACCTGCAACTGCGATCTGGCATGAACCTACCGCTTTTCTACTTCGTCCTCGTTCATTCCGGCCAACTCTGGAATGTCGTGCCTCACGTCCTTCCCATCATGCAATGCTTGCGCGGCCTGAAAGAAAACAACAATTGAAGTTTAGTCACTAGATGCTTGTAATCAACGAACACTTTGTAACGAAAGGGTGAGTAAGATTTAAAACTTTGCATGCGGTGGCGGTCTTCAGGAGATGTCTCCTGAAGACGATCAGGGCATGCTGATCGGAACGTCAAGTTTTACAACCCACCGGTTCATTTTTGAGAACCACACATCTTCCCAAAAGAGATTTCTACCTGGTGTTACCGCAAACCTTCACTGATAAAAGGTGAGTTGCTCAAAATCTTAAGTAGGGTGAATAACAACCAATCTGTTGCAGTTTCAGTTCAGAGGCTACTGTACATTTTGAGAAAAGTAAACTGGACTCCTTCACTAACAGACATAACAAAGTGTGCCCGTGGGCACCCTGTTTTGAAACCATCTTCAATGTTCGTTTTCTTCCAAATGATACCATTTCAGGCGGAATAATTTCACAATGTAATTTATCTTCACCTTGAGCAAGATTTCTGTTATAAAGTTGAGGTATTTTTCTAGGTAATTTGGGCGATTCACAATGCAGTGCGCGCACCACCATGAGTTTGCAATGGAGAGTCTTGTTTTCAAGTTTACGGTCGACAAAACACAGCCCAATTGAGTGTCAGTAGACAACTTGAGCTAATTTGTTACAGATTGGGGCATAGCATTCTGCCGCCTTACAAAAACACCATATTGATAAAATGGAAAAGAAAAGGGCAAACATACAATCGAACCATATGCTTACGAAACTACTGACCGGAAAAACTAGCAATTTCAAATGTCCCGCGCTGCAAAGTTGTCGACATCTCCCACAATGCACTGGGAAAAAATAGCTCTCCATGGCAAACTCTTGGTGGCGCACTGCATTGTGAAACGCCCAAATTACACGTTCCTACAAAAAACCTACATGACTTTTTTAAATCACAAGCCCCAAAGAAACATCTTGAACAATGGAAACAAAACTGATTAATGTCCACATTGATTAGAGTATCAAACTGTGTGATATGTCAAAATGAAGACCTCAGTATGTCTTTCTCATCCATTTAGGAATGAAAAAAAAAATGACAATCTGTTCTTTAGACTCATGTATAAAACTCATTACAAAGTTCTGGAACCCTACACTAATTGGCCACAGACCTCATAGAACATCTTGTGGGAGGATCGGATGACGGTGCGGCCGTACCAGACTTTACGGACTTCATACGTCTGAGGGTCCAACTGCCACATGACGCTCATGGCGTAGCGATCCACTCCACCAATCAGAGAGCAGAGATCCGCGCTCAGGATAGTGGGCAGCATGTCGTAACGTCGGTCTGCAAGGTACACTGTCGTGGATCTGCGTGTAAACAGAGCAATGCAGATTCTTTATTGATGCTGTGACCTTTTGAGATCTTTCTTCTTCTTTTTCCCCCAAAATTTGAGATTTATCCTGCAATCTTTTATAACTAATAACAATAATAATAATAATAATACCAGAGTCTTATATAGAGCATCTACCAACAATTAGGAACTCAAGGCACTGGTAATTATGTCTATTTATAAAGACAGGTAAATAAAGTGTATGAGAAATATGAGACTCGTTATGTAGCACCTTTATAAAGGGTATACAAGATACTGCGGCGCAAATTGCAGCCACTGCCAGAAACACCAGGGCAAACCCCTTCTCCTAGCGATAAGTGTTACTGGGTTCTTTAACGTGCATTACACAACACACGGCACCTACGGCTTTACGTCCCATCCGAAGGATGGAGCAATAATGGTAAAGTGCCTTGCTCAAGAGCACAAGGACCATGTTCCCTGTCAGGATTCATACCCATGTACCACGGCACACAAGTCGAACACCGTAACCATTGGACCACAGCCCTTCATATAACAGATCCTTCTAAGCAGGACATTTAATCATCAATCTAAAGTTTATCTTGCAATGAAACCTGTTCAGTTTCACAAACCCTTTCCATGAAATAAATTTACCGATTTCAAGAATAACGATTCTGAAATTCTAAGTAGAAAGAATTGCCATTTGGGTGAAACCTTAAATAAGTTTTTTTTTTATAAGGATTCATATTTCGTCTGGCCAATCCAACTTCAGTGTAATGCAACCACTGAAGTCCAAACGAAAACAACGGGAAGTTGACAGTCTATTCCTGCTGAATAGTATAGGTTTTGCACAAATGTGCACATTTTTTTCGCCAAGATAATTTGAGATGATATTTTGCTCTTAGACCAAAACCACATCCAAACTGTACTACGACTCATTCAGAGTATTGCCAGAAAACTATCTTTCTATAGCTAGATGTTTTGGAAGAGAATTGACCTTACTTAGGGTTGAACAAACTGCAATGGTTATTGCATGTTCCAATGGTAAGTTTTAATGAGCCCTCCATGGATTATCCACTTTGACAAGTTCAAAGAGAAAGATATGCAAATCCCTTTTAGGTTTACCTCTGTTTGGCCTCCAGATCTGTGAGTGAATTGGGTTTGACGAAGTATGAGACATCGGCGATGTGAACACCTAGTTCCAACACCTTACCGTTCTTCAGTTCCCTGCCACAAACAAATACTGATACTTAAACAACATGCCAATATATTAGAACTGGTTTAATATTTCAGACAACCTTAACAACATGAACATTTTTTTCAAATGTCAATTCGTTGTGTTTAATAATCTGTACCCCACAATGGAAATTCGAAAGAAGCGGAAAAAAAAAATGATACAAGTAGCCACAAAAACCAAATTTAAAGCTACTGTCCATCATTTGTAGCTATCCACAAAGTAACTGACATAATGTTGTTAAAAAACATACTTGGTTGACAGATAGCAATGGCACTAAACTCCCTGTGAAATTTTTCTTTCTGGCAAGCTGTCATTTTGAAGAAATCAATGAAAAAAAGGGGTTTCCGTTAGTAGTTTGTTTTTTTTATACGGCGAAGGGCGCAAGCATTGACTATAATGCTATAATTCCTTGGTTCATGGTGCGACATCGCACAGCTCAGTGAGAATGTCTCAGACGCTGAATTCAGGCCCAATTCAAAACATGACTGAGCAACGCTTGATTTGAAATCGAGATCCTAGAATATTGTTTTCTCAAAATATACAGCATTCACTGAGCTGAAACTTCATCAGGTCAGTTGATCAGCACCCTGATTAGATTTGAGCACTTTTGTTGCTTCAAACGAACCTAATGCACAAATTACAAGTGATGGACGCTACCTTTGAGACAAAATGGTTTTACATATATTTCAGAGAAGAAAGCGTAACAATAAGGACAATTTAATGTTTGGGTTTTCCCATTCAACGACAGAGTTAAATAAGTTCTATACACTCGATGCTTTCTGATAGCTAGCAAGAAAAAATTCACAAGCTTATACTCGGGTAGACTCCAACCTATGACCTCCTTACTAGTGCAGCGATCTTAACCACTTGACCATATAACTTGCCAGGTTAGCTAGCTGGTTCAGATCGATATATATGTACTGTTTGCATCACAGGAGATGTAAAGTTAATATTTGGCGTGTTTGAACATTTACCACTGTCCTACCTTATGGACAAAGTATCATCCACGTCTTCACAGCCCTTGGGATCGATGCTGAAGACAAGATGTGTCTGGCGGAGGTCTCGTCGCTGCGATATTTCCTCTTCACTCATTGTCCACGGAGTCTCCTCCGAATTGCTCGGTAATTCTTTCACCTGACAAGACAACGGTTCCATTATTTTATTACACATTTATTCCAATAAGTTACAAATGTAAGTGCCTTAAAAGTTATAAAAGTGAAGTTAATTCCAATTCTACACTGCAGCTTAAACAATCCTTTGACGACAACTTACGGAAGATCTGTTTGTGAGGAGAAAACTTGGAAAATTAAATCCGAGGAAAGCCTTCATGTTCAAGCTACAGTCTATCATTTGCAGCTATCCAAAAAGCAACTGACATAATTATTGTTGAAAAACATACTTGGTTGAAAGATAGTAAGGGGACTAAAGTCCCTGTGAAATTATTCATAGTTGGTACGATGCACACACGCGTGCGGTTGCTAAAATTCGTCGGATCAGTGCGCCACATCGTGTAGCTGCAATCGGCTCAGTGAGAAGCTGAGCTGAAACTTCATCCGCTTAGTTGTTCAGCACCCTTCTTTAGATTTTGAGCACTTTTGTTGCTTCAACCGAACAAAATGCACAAATTACAAATGATGGACTATACCTTTAAGGGTTTACAGAAACAGCAACAGAAAAGAATGGGGAACAGTTCTGAAACAATGAGGAATACACAAGACATAAAGACTTCATTACAGATGAATTCTTTTGGTGCGCCCCAACCCACATAAAACAAACTTTTCTAATTGTAACACCGATCAGCAAATTACCACGTAGACTGCCTGCCCTAATGTCCATGGACAGGCAAAAAACTAATCCCACTTATTTTTGTCTGCAGGGGTGGGTAGGCTATGTACTTTTTGCACCCAAGCATACCTGACCCTCGGAGAACGCCCCAACCGAGATGCTGTTCTCAACCAAGATGGCTGCTATCTCCGTTTCCAGGCTGCCCGTCGGCCCAAGCGACCGCACAAAATGACCGTTGGGATACTGGGAGTCCGTCTCCCACGAGTCAAGCCGCACAACGATTCTGTGAAAATCAATGTTTAAAAAGTATATGGAAACACGGAGCAATAAGCAGTATGGATATATGCATTATAACATGCTTTCAAATCTTGGGTTGGATTCTACAAAAAAGACTGAAAAATGCAAGTTTCATAATTTGGAATCTTTGATAACATTCTGTCATCACATATTTTTTTTCCTGTGATCTGGGCCCAATTTCATGGTGCTGCTAAGCATACGATTGTCTGCTAACAGAAAAAGTAAAAGTAAAGTAAAGTCTGTCGCGAGCCAATGTGGCTCATCAGGCTGACATTTATCTCCGGTTTCAGTAGTGTGAAATAGCTGAGAATATTTCTACTCCCCCTGGATGGGATGCTAGTCCATCGCTCATTACTCCTTAGCTAATGCTGGTACCCATTCATACTCCTGGGTGGAGAGGGGCAAGTGGGGGTGAAGTGGCTTGCCCATGGACACAACATATGACCAGCAGCTGGATTCGAACCCCAGACCCTCTGATCATGAGTCACGAACCCTAACCACTAGGCCACACACTCCCCCCCCCCCTGCTAACAGAGCCTCCGTCTATTTCATGGAGACCGTAAAGCAGTAAGCACAGCAAAAGGAATGCTTACCTCAAAGGAAAAAGTTGTCTAAATTTCTTGTCAAGTAAAAATAAAAATCACCATGCCTGCGCAACCGTTATCACATACACGCCACGACACAGTGCTTAATGGTCAGCACAACTTTCTGCTATAGTTAGTACAACTTATCTGCTAACTGTTAAGCAGCTCCAATAAACTGGGCCCAGCTCTTAGCAAATTTTTACTTGTCCCTGAGGGCCAGCCTAGTGTCCTACCTCACTTACTGACCGACTGTCACTTGTGACATATAGGCCAACAGAGCAATGTTAAATTACTACAGCGCTAACTCCTCATTCTTGAGCGCGGAGACGCTTTGAAGCCATACTGGGCGCAGACATTTTCAATTCATGTGCGTGTTTGTAGAACATAATGAAATTATATGGATTTAATTTTGAAAGTATACTCTAAATGCAACGCGCAAGTAGGCCGTACGCAAACAACTTAAGCGCGTCATTACAGTTTAAAAAGAAAACCATGACGGTTAATCACTCTCCAGTGGATACGCGCACGCATTGCGCTATTTGCGTAGAGCAAAATGACACGCTCATGTGCGCTTCGGTTTTGGGCATATCGGCTTCGATAACGCACCGTACACAATTTGGAGTTTTCCATAGGTTTGTGTACAAACATTGATGCGCCCAGCAGGCATCGCTTTGTACATGAGTCAGCGCTCTAGTAACTGGGTTCTTTGGGGGTCAAGGACCAAATACTACATGTGTTGTGCACACTTGTTTGGAAAGAAAGCATACTCTACAGGTTACTACTAAGTAGTATTTTGTAGCTTTAGGTGAGGTTAGGGTTAATATAGCTCTATGCATAGGCCGCATCCAAATTACTTAGCTACGGCTTGAAATAACACAGGGGTCTATGGGAAGTGGCTCCATCCAAATGACTTGGCTACGGCTTAAAATAACACAGGGGTCTATGGGCAGTGGCTCCATCCAAATGACTTGGCTACGGCTAAAATAACACAAGGGTCTATGGGAAGTGGCTGCATCCACACGACTTGGCTACGGCTTAAAATAACACAGGGGTCTATGGGCAGTGGGTCCATCCAAATGACTTGGCTACGGCTTAAAATAACACAGGGGTCTATGGGAAGTGGCTCCATCCAAATGACTTGGCTATGGCTTAAAATAACACAGGGGTCTATGGGCAGTGGCTCCATCCAAATGACTTGGCTACGACTTAAAATAACACAGGGGTCTATGGGCAGTGGCTCCATCCAAATGACTTGGCTATGGCTTAAAAATAACACAGGGGTCTATGGGCAGTGGGTCCATCCAAATGACTTGGCTATGGCTTAAAATAATGCAGGGGTCTATGGGCAGTGGCTCCATCCAAATGACTTGGCTATGGCTTAAAATAACACAGTGGTCTATGGGCAGTGGCTCCATCCAAATGACTTGGCTACGGCTAAAATAACACAAGGGTCTATGGGAAGTGGCTGCATCCACACGACTTGGCTACGGCTTAAAATAACACAGGGGTCTATGGGCAGTGGCTCCATCCAAATGACTTGGCTACGGCTTAAAATAACACAGGGGTCTATGGGAAGTGGCTCCATCCAAATGGCTTGGCTATGGCTTAAAATAACACAGGGGTCTATGGGCAGTGGCTCCATCCAAATGACTTGGCTACGACTTAAAATAACACAGGGGTCTATGGGCAGTGGCTCCATCCAAATGACTTGGCTATGGCTTAAAAACAACACAGGGGTCTATGGGCAGTGGGTCCATCCAAATGACTTGGCTATGGCTTAAAATAATGCAGGGGTCTATGGGCAGTGGCTCCATCCAAATGACTTGGCTATGGCTTAAAATAACACAGTGGTCTATGGGCAGTGGCTCCATCCAAATGACTTGGTTACGACTTAAAATAAAACAGGGGTCTATGGGCAGTGGCTCCATCCAAATGACTTGGCTATGGCTTAAAAATAACACAGGGGTCTATGGGCAGTGGCTCAATCCACACGACTTGGCTACGGCTTAAAATAACACAGGGGTCTATGGGCAGCGGCTCCATCCAAATGACTTGGCTACGGCTTAAAATAACACAGGGGTCTATGGGAAGTGGCTCCATCCAAATGACTTGGCTACGACTTAAAATAACACAGGGGTCTATGGGCAGTGGCTCCATCCAAATGACTTGGCTATGGCTTAAAATAACACAGGGGTCTATGGGCAGTGGCTCAATCCAAATGACTTGGCTACGACTTAAAATAACACAGGGGTCTATGGGCAGTGGCTCCATCCAAATGAATTGGCTATGGCTTAAAATAACAAAGGGGTCTATGGGCAGTGGCTCCATCCAAATGACTTGGCTATGGCTTAAAATAACACAGGGGTCTATGGGCAGTGGCTCCATCCAATAGACTTGGCTATGGCTTAAAATAACACAGGGGTCTATGGGCAGTGGCTCCATCCAAATGACTTGGCTATGGCTTAAAAATAACACAGGGGTCTATGGGCAGTGGGTCCATCCAAATGACTTGGCTATGGCTTAAAATAATGCAGGGGTCTATGGGCAGTGGCTCCATCCAAATGACTTGGCTATGGCTTAAAATAACACAGTGGTCTATGGGCAGTGGCTCCATCCAAATGACTTGGCTACGACTTAAAATAACACAGGGGTCTATGGGCAGTGGCTCCATCCAAATGACTTGGCTATGGCTTAAAATAACACAGGGATCTATGGGCAGTGGCTCCATCCAAATGACTTGGCTACGACTTAAAATAACACAGGGGTCTATGGACAGTGGCTCCATCCAAATGACTTGGCTATGGCTTAAAATAACACAGGGGTCTATGGGCAGTGGCTCCAACCAAATGACTTGGCTATGGCTTAAAATAACACAGGGGTCTATGGACAGTGGCTCCATCCAAATGACTTGGCTACAACTTAAAATAACACAGGGGTCTATGGACAGTGGCTCCATCCAAATGACTTGGCTATGGCTTAAAAATAACACAGGGGTCTATGGGCAGTGGCTCCATCCAAATGACTTGGCTATGGCTTAAAATAACACAGGGGTCTATGGGCAGTGGCTCCATCCAAATGACTTGGCTACGACTTCAAATAACACAGGGGTCTATGGGCAGTGGCTCCATCCAATTGACTTGGCTATGGCTTAAAATAACACAGGGGTCTATGGGAAGTGGCTCCATCCAAATGACTTGGCTATGGCTTAAAATAACACAGGGGTCTATGGGCAGTGGCTCCATCCAAATGACTTGGCTATGGCTTAAAATAACACAGGGGTCTATGGGCAGTGGCTCCATCCAATTGACTTGGCTATGGCTTAAAATAACACAGGGGTCTATGGGCAGTGGCTCCATCCAAATGACTTGGCTACGACTTAAAATAACACAGGGGTCTATGGGCAGTGGCTCCATCCAAATGACTTGGCTATGGCTTAAAAATAACACAGGGGTCTATGGGCAGTGGCTCCATCCAAATGACTTGGCTATGGCTTAAAATAACACAGGGGTCTATGGGCAGTGGCTCCATCCAAATGACTTGGCTACGACTTAAAATAACACAGGGGTCTATGGACAGTGGCTCCATCCAAATGACTTGGCTATGACTTAAAATAACACAGGGGTCTATGGACAGTGGGTCCATCCAAATGACTTGGCTATGGCTTAAAATAACACAGGGGTCTATGGGCAGTGGCTCCATCCAAATGACTTGGCTATGGCTTAAAATAACACAGGGGTCTATGGGCAGTGGCTCCATCGAAATGACTTTGCTATGACTTAAAATAACACAGGGGTCTATGGACAGTGGCTCCATCCAAATGACTTGGCTACGACTTCAAATAACACAGGGGTCTATGGGCAGTGGCTCCATCCAAATGACTTGGCTACGACTTAAAATAACACAGGAGTCTATGGGCAGTGGCTCCATCCAAATGACTTGGCTATGGCTTAAAATAACACAGGGGTCTATGGGCAGTGGCTCCATCCAAATGACTGGGCTATGGCTTAAAATAACACAGGGGTCTATGGACAGTGGCTCCATCCAAATGACTTGGCTACGACTTAAAATAACACAGTGGTCTATGGGCAGTGGCTCCATCCAAATGACTTGGCTATGGCTTAAAATAACACAGGGGTCTATGGGCAGTGGCTCCATCCAAATGACTTGGCTATGGCTTAAAATAACACAGGGGTCTATGGGCAGTGGCTCCATCCAAATGACTTGGCTATGGCTTAAAATAACACAGGGGTCTATGGGCAGTGGCTCCATCCAAATGACTTGGCTACGACTTAAAATAACACAGGGGTCTATGGACAGTGGCTCCATCCAAATGACTTGGCTACGACTTAAAATAACACAGGGGTCTATGGACAGTGGCTCCATCCAAATGACTTGGCTATGGCTTAAAATAACACAGGGGTCTATGGGCAGTGGCTCCATCCAAATGACTTGGCTATGGCTTAAAATAACACAGGGGTCTATGGGCAGTGGCTCCATCCAAATGACTTGGCTACGACTTAAAATAACACAGGGGTCTGTGGGCAGTGGCTCCATCCAAATGACTTGGCTATGGCTTAAAATAACACAGGGGTCTGTGGGCAGTGGCTCCATCCAAATGACTTGGCTATGGCTTAAAATAACACAGGGGTCTATGGGCAGTGGCTCCATCCAATTGACTTGGCTATGGCTTAAAATAACACAGGGGTCTATGGGCAGTGGCTCCATCCAAATGACTTGGCTACGACTTAAAATAACACAGGGGTCTGTGGGCAGTGGCTCCATCCAAATGACTTGGCTATGGCTTAAAAATAACACAGGGGTCTATGGGCAGTGGGTCCATCCAAATGACTTGGCTATGGCTTAAAATAATGCAGGGGTCTATGGGCAGTGGCTCCATCCAAATGACTTGGCTATGGCTTAAAATAACACAGGGGTCTATGGGCAGTGGCTCCATGCAAATGACTTGGCTATGGCTTAAAATAACACAGGGGTCTGTGGGCAGTGGCTCCATCCAAATGACTTGGCTATGGCTTAAAATAACAGGGGTCTATGGACAGTGGCTCCATCCAAATGACTTGGCTATGGCTTAAAATAACACAGGGGTCTATGGACAGTGGCTCCATCCAAATGACTTGGCTATGGCTTAAAATAACACAGGGGTCTATGGGCAGTGGCTCCATCCAAATGACTTGGCTATGGCTTAAAATAACACAGGGGTCTATGGGCAGTGGCTCCATCCAAATGACTTGGCTATGGCTTACAATAACACAGGGGTCTATGGACAGTGGCTCCATCCAAATGACTTGGCTACGACTTAAAATAACACAGGGGTCTATGGACAGTGGCTCCATCCAAATGACTTGGCTATGACTTAAAATAACACAGGGGTCTATGGACAGTGGCTCCATCCAAATGACTTGGCTATGGCTTAAAATAACACAGGGGTCTGTGGGCAGTGGCTCCATCCAAATGACTTGGCTATGGCTTAAAATAACACAGGGGTCTATGGGCAGTGGCTCCATCCAAATGACTTGGCTATGGCTTAAAATAACAGGGGTCTATGGACAGTGGCTCCATCCAAATGACTTGGCTATGGCTTAAAATAACACAGGGGTCTATGGACAGTGGCTCCATCCAAATGACTTGGCTATGGCTTAAAATAACACAGGGGTCTATGGGCAGTGGCTCCATCCAAATGACTTGGCTATGGCTTAAAATAACACAGGGGTCTATGGGCAGTGACTCCATCCAAATGACTTGGCTATGGCTTACAATAACACAGGGGTCTATGGACAGTGGCTCCATCCAAATGACTTGGCTACGACTTAAAATAACACAGGGGTCTATGGACAGTGGCTCCATCCAAATGACTTGGCTATGACTTAAAATAACACAGGGGTCTATGGACAGTGGCTCCATCCAAATGACTTGGCTATGGCTTAAAATAACACAGGGGTCTGTGGGCAGTGGCTCCATCCAAATGACTTGGCTATGGCTTAAAATAACACAGGGGTCTATGGGCAGTGGCTCCATCCAAATGACTTGGCTATGGCTTAAAATAACACAGGGGTCTATGGACAGTGGCTCCATCCAAATGACTTGGCTATGGCTTAAAATAACACAGGGGTCTATGGGCAGTGGCTCCATCCAAATGACTTGGCTATGGCTTAAAATAACACAGGGGTCTATGGGCAGTGGCTCCATCCAAATGACTTGGCTATGGCTTACAATAACACAGGGGTCTATGGACAGTGGCTCCATCCAAATGACTTGGCTACGACTTAAAATAACACAGGGGTCTATGGACAGTGGCTCCATCCAAATGACTTGGCTATGGCTTAAAATAACACAGGGGTCTATGGGCAGTGGCTCCATCCAAATGACTTGGCTATGGCTTAAAATAACACAGGGGTCTATGGGCAGTGGCTCCATGCAAATGACTTGGCTATGGCTTAAAATAACACAGGGGTCTATGGACAGTGGCTCCATCCAAATGACTTGGCTATGGCTTAAAATAACACAGGGGTCTATGGGCAGTGGCTCCATCCAAATGACTTGGCTACGACTTAAAATAACACAGGGGTCTATGGACAGTGGCTCCATCCAAATGACTTGGCTATGGCTTAAAATAACACAGGGGTCTATGGGCAGTGGCTCCATCCAAATGACTTGGCTATGGCTTAAAATAACACAGGGGTCTATGGGCAGTGGCTCCATCCAAATGACTTGGCTATGGCTTAAAATAACACAGGGGTCTATGGACAGTGGCTCCATCCAAATGACTTGGCTATGGCTTAAAATTACACAGGGGTCTATGGGAAGTGGCTGCATCCACTTCCATAGGTGCGTGTAAATTCTAGCCGTAGCCAAGTAATTTGGACACGGCCTAAGACTGATGACCTCTTTACACTGATTTATTGTCACTTGTGACTTAATCAGGGCCCAAATTCACAGCACTGCTAAACAGCCGACTTTGTGCTTACCCAGCCTCCATCTATTCCATAGGGACCGTTAAGCTGTAAGCACAGGAAAAGCACGCTTAAAACCTAACTCCCTAGGGGCAGTGCAAAATTTATTGAAATTGGAGGATTCAGGACTGTTAGGGCTATCCCCAGAAGAAAACTTTGCTTAAATCAGTGACGTAACAATAGAAATCTCCATGCAAGCGCAACAGTTAGCATGAAATAGTGCTTAAGCAGCAGCATGATTTTCTGCTATAGTAAGCACAACTTTTCTGCTAACTGTTAAGCAGTGCTATGAAATTGGGGCCTGGTCTGGGTTCAGTGTTACTACAGCGCGTCCCAAAATACCTGCAAATTTTTTTGTGAACCTGTAGTGTCGTCGCGGAAACACGTACCGCCTTTATTTTGATACCATTTTTAAAGCTTGGAATCTTAACTTTATCCCTGGCGAGTATTGGTTTGATATTTTTTTAAAACTATTCGTGTTCAAATAAAGGCATGTCGAAAACAAACTCTTTTGAAAAATGAAAATTAACTTTTTGAAAATTAACCCAATACTTACATGGGATAAAATTAAGATTTCAAGCTTTAAAATGATATAAAAATAATGGCGATACGTGTTTCTGCGACGACGCTAGAGCCTCCCCCAAAAAAAATGTATTTTGGGACGCGCTGTAGACTTGCTTAGTATTGGTTGATTATCAACCTATCGCTTGTAGGATGAAATTTGTAGCAGGGAGCTGTAAATTTATTATCTATTTTTGCCCTTCGATGATGTAATAAGCAAATTGTATACTCAGTGCAGATGTCTCAGCCACTCCACCACCAAGCTAGCAATACTCAGCTGGGCGGTTTCGAAACTAGTGTATTAGTGGGTCATGCAATCAATATATAGACCTTTATCATGCTGCCACCACTTCAGTCATGTTCCCTGTATCCAATAACAGTACTGAATGATAATTTGTTTTGTGCTACAAGGAACCAGACAATTTTTCCTTCCAGCTTCGCTTTGGTTACGTTGATTTGAATGGGAAACAATCATGATGGCCGCAACATGATAATGGGCTGTTGTATGATGGGATGACTATCGTTATTAACCTGTCCTCTCGGAGCGCCTCTGCTTGTCTTGTGCTGATGCGTATCTTGGGGATGCGGTAATCCCACGGAATGACGAGGACCTTGCCCGCTCTAGAACCTTGGCTCTGAGAAATATGTCCACAAATTCAAAGTTCACAACTTTCTTTATGAGCTGGCATTTGAATCATTGCTGTCTACAGTTACAATTTTTCTTACAAAGTACAATTCTGATTGTATGGTATTTTAACATGATAAATTTGAATTTAATTGTTAACTTTTGTTAATTTTTGTTAACTGTTATTAAGTTGTTAACTGGTGATGTAACCAGCTTTACTAGGCTGCTTCACAAATACATTCGAAAGTCTCTATAACACTCACCACTATACTTAACATTCTGCTATACCGAACATTCTATTTGGTAGTGGTGTGCATTTTTGGGTACTACGGGAACCGGGCAGTAATAATATAATAATAGTGGGTATTTATAATAATAATAATAATAATAATTTGGGAGGCTAATCATCCTTACTTGCAGCTGGTATGCTGAATTGCGAAGGACGCGGCTACAACGTGGTCGGGCCGCTGGCACGTAAAGGCGCCTATGGCTGCTGGCCACATCGACCCATATATGACCACGGAGCACAGCCTGAGATCGAAAGTGTTTGATTTTTCCGGAGGGAGGAAAACCGGAGGGTCCGGAGAAAAACCCTCGTGGCACAGGAGAGAACCAACGCACAACTCTACTCACATGCGATCCGCGGCCAGGATTCGAACCGTGGTCACCTTGGTGAGAGGCGAGCGCTTTACGCACAAGCCACCCATGCCACAGGTATCCACCAGGACTGGTGCTCAAGGTGCTACATCATTATTACCACTACTCATTGTGCCCATGCAACATTCCAAATACCATCTCAGCTCCCTGGGGAGTATACAGCTCGATGCAGCCTGTTAGGCGCAAGGAAGCTAATTCAATCACAATAACCATCTCTGCCCTCACAGATACCCATTTACTCCTGGGTGGAGAGAAGCAACGAGTGACAAAGTGCCTTGCCCAAGGGCACACGCACCGCGACCCCAGGCTGGACTTGAACCCACTGCCTGCAGATTTACCCACTGACAACGAATCCAATGCCCTTAACCCCAAGGCCACAGCACTCCACAATAGGGTACCCTATTTAAGTAAAACACGGGTACCCAGGTACACGTAAAAGAAACCCAACCAAAATTAAAATTCCGGATTCTGACTTAAGAACTTAGCTTTACAATGTAAACTGCAACTTTCGCAAGCGTCATCTGTCGCACGTTAAAGTGCACACAAACGTGAAATCTGTTTCGGTTTTCCATGTATCCCGGGTTTCATTTTGAAAATTCCCCCAAAATGGCATTCAAAACCTTTCTTTTCATTGTCTAAGAAGTTACTAAGTAATATGTAAAGTTGGTTACGGGTACCCGATCCCATAATCTTGAACCTGTTACTGACATCAGCGTTCTGGTACCCGGGCACCCGGTTCCGATGCACACCCCTACTGTTTGGCTCCCAAATTCAGTGTCCAGTACACCAATCTTTGTTTATATACAGTGAAATCTTGATAAGTCAAACTCTGATAACTCAAAATAACTGTCAAGTCAAACAAAGAATCCATTCCAAAGAATCCAAGACAGAGCATACACTTGCCTCTTGTTCTTCAGGAAAGCTGGCTACGTAATCCCTCCAGTGTCTCTGCAACACACCCACTATGCGTCCGGTGGGCTTGGCGTTGCTCTGATCTACGTCTGATACCTCCGCTGGATCACCTAGACCAATCACACATAACAAATAATGCGCAGTTCAAGCAATGACTGCTTTTCTGTCTTAGCTGCGTTACTTGCCCAGACAGGGTTAATGTTGGATTCGGTTGGTACAACTTTGTAAGTTTACTAGTTTGTAGTCAAATCTTTAACCCTAACTCCCTAGGATGCAACCTCATTCCTGCAAAATCCTCCAACTGCCTACACATAAAAATAGCATACAGCATCAATCCTGCAAAATCCTCCGTCATTTCTTGAATGTGGTCCTTGGAGGGGTGATCATTTTCTCAATCCTGCAAAATTCTCCACCAATCACTGTCAACATGTTGAGGCAGAGCTAGTGACATCACGGAGCAGTGCGGAGGATTTCAGGTATAATCTAGGCCTAAATTTATGCACTGTTGGGCGTAAACAACACAAGGTCTGGCCCAAGACCTTCACACAATGCATCCTCAGTAATCATCCACACATTTTGCCATGTAGCCTCAATCCTGCAAATCCTCCATTTTGCAAAGAGGATTTTGCAGGATTTGGGAAAGTTTGGGTTAATCATATCAAATCAGGCGTCAACTACTAGTCAATTGAAAATCAATTCACAGTTCAATCATAAGTGATTCACAAGTCAAGCATTTGTCAATCACATGTCAAGCACATGTCAAGCACATGTCAAGCACATGTCAAGCACATGTCAAGCACATGTCAAGCACATGTCAAGCACATGTCAAGCACATGTCAAGCAAAGGTCAAATCTTAGTACAAGTCAATTACAATTCACATCACAAGTCCTGTCACAAGTAACACATAATGGGATTACTCAACCTAATAACGTGCCCAGCCGTACTGGCCTTTGCCTCAGCAACAACCTGAGAGTTCCATGTACATTCAAAAGGACAGGGGACAGGGCCTTTTCAGTTTCTCATCCCCGGTGATGGCAATCCTCATCACACAACATCCGCAACATCACTATCTCTAGATCTTGTTTTCAAATGCCTGAGGGCATTTTCTTAGAACTTCACATTCTGTACATCAAAGGGAAACTTACCAGTTGAAGACAAAGAATTGATTTTGCCGATCCACTGTGACCTGGGGAGCAATTCAACAGCTACTTGGTCCCCATGAACAGCCCGATTCCTACATAAACAAAATCTGCTTTTTAACATGTATCCAGAGATGAAACTGGCATATGGCAAAAAAAATCGGAAAATTGGCCGAACAAAAATACCTGTCCGAAATCTGGGCCGCGCTGCAGTTACACACATGCACATGCATGTACAATACACTTCATGCCCAATTTCCAGACACCAACTCCTGCTTTATTTTAGATTCAAACAAAATTTTACGATGATAAAAACAAATGGTCAGTGTTTTCATTGCATAAGACGCCTGAATTACGGTTACAGTAATGGAGTCATCAACAAAGAAATTCACTTCTTACTTGAGAAAGTCGAGGAAAAAGTCAGAAAGACAAGGGCACCGTTCATGGTGCTTCAATCATGTCCATGATTCAACCACACAACTTCACTGTGCCACTTGCATTCGTACGTGGGGAAAAAATCAGGCATTTATCGTCTTTCTCTTCCAACAAATGCCAGTGAGGTGTTTCACTAATAAATGCTCTCTTCGCTATCCTCGAGATAATCATTATGATTTGTAAAGCATTGCATTTTGTACAACTAAATCTGAAACCTCGGAAAATCGCACAACATAATGATTTTATCCACTGGATCGTTCACGAGGCTACCCGTTCCCGACCGGCCATGTGCTATAGCGGACTGTACGGTGCGGTACCATTGCATATCATCTTTGTACATATGCACGCACGTGCGACACAGTGATTTTTTCCTTGTCACCTGTCAATGTTTAACCTTTTGTCCAGCCAGAAAGGGCTCAGATCAGTGTTATGCCTGTGTTTCTACCGTTGCAACATTCCAATAACGACTGGTGCAAGAGATTAAAACTACATTCGCGATAATTTTAACGTGCATTTCCATCGACTTTTCTTCGAAATTATGACTGAAATAAAATGACATTTTGTGGAAAAATCGTTACAAAAATCAAATTTTGAGGGACACATTGTAGGAAACTCAGAAATTTCGTTGTAAAATTCAAAAAGTCGGATTTCTGATTAAAATCAGAAAAATTTCATCTCTAATGTATCTATTCTAACCAAATGGCTCAATGCCCAATTCTGTCTGAGATGTAGGATGGGTTGCCCTATTATCGCGGTACTTATCACGTTTCTCGTTCGGAAGAGAGATTGCCCACTAACCTTCCAGAATTGTCCTGTCTCTTAGGTTGTATAACTCTTCCTTTTTACATTAATATAAAAAAAATCCGACGGTGGTGTGGTTTATTCCGTGTACGATGCCTGTGAAAATAGACATGCTCGGAGTGTGCGAACGTAGGTGGACTCCCTATTATCGCGGCCGTGGTGTTTATAATGATCCCAACTTTTTATTAATATTAATGTTTGACCAAAACATCCCCTGAATAAAGTCTGATATTTTCCCTGTAATGTTCAAGTTGAATAAAGACTATATTTCTACAGGATGATTTCTTAAGACCCTGCCCTTCCCCCGAAAGGAGAACACAAATCCCTGAGGCAAGTCTACTGATCGGCGATTGAGGGCGCCATTCACTTTACACTGTGTGCCGTTTTATTTTCGCTAACGCGCGGTGCCTACTTTGATCCCGTAAAAGTTGTTACGATTGCGCACTGCAAATATCGTCGTTCGACTTCATTTTACATTTGCAGCTGAAGAATGGGAACCAGACAATGGAACTTTCATGGACAGAGCACAATTAAAGATTAATGTTAAATATAAACGGTACCTTTTAGCAGACATGGTGAGGGAATTTTGCAAGTTTTGGAAAAAGTTAATATTTATTAAAATCGTTAAAAGTCCCGAAAGACACAACATTTTTTAATCGTCCTTTTTATACAACTCAGTAGAAAATCCTTGATGACTAGTGAACTGGATAAAAATCGCCACTTGGAGGAGTTTTGGCACTGCAAAAAGAGAAATTTCCCATGCCGCGATAATAGGGATGCCGCGATAATAGGGAGTCTGACTATTCTTCACGATACATTCCAGTTTTGTACTCGTCTACTCTCATACTGGGTCTTAAAACTCACAAAAATATCATCAAAGGATGCACAAGTCTCCAAAATCTCTTGGCTCATTATGGGGGCTTACATGTAACTAGGATTATTGCTGCTCACCTGTTTTTCATTCCAGCTATCAAGATGTCAGAATCCAAATTGATTCCTTTGCTGCCACTGTTTGATGAGATGAAAAAAAATTAGGGGAGTCAGGTTAGCATAGACAGGCATGCAACTGGGAAGTCACCAAAAAAAGAGGAATTCTAATTTTTCCAAGACTTTGTACAGTGTTTTTCTACATGTATTTTCAATGGCACACATTGGAAGTGAAAAAAGAGGAAATCAGCTGATCCGAGGAAAAGTTGCATGCCTGCATAGAGGGGAGTCAGGTTGGCTTGGCAGTACTTTCCACGCCTCCCACCACTGTGACCCGGGTTCGAATCCGCCTGGGCCAATATGTGGACAAGGGACAAGTGCTTCTTACAAATAAACATAGCTAGAGAGGTGTTTCACAAAACATGAAGTAAAATTGTTCAGTAAAATCTTTAAGAAAAATTGAAACCTCTTGTCTTGACTATTTGACCGAAAGGTAATGGAATACATATGCTTGGCTTGGGCCACTATCCGCGTCCAGCAGGCCCCTAGCTGGGTTTTAAAGGTGCTTGTTTAAAGATATAGTCCATCATTTGTAATTTGTGCATTTTGTTCGTTTGAAGCAACAAAAGTGTTCAAAATCTAATGAAGGATACTGAACAACTAACCTGATGAACTTTCAACTAAGCTTCAGCTGTATATTCCGAGAAAAACAGCATTCTAGGATCTCAACTTCAAATCAAAAGTTACTGAATCATGTTTTGAATTGTTTTGAATTGCAGCTATACGCGACGTCGCGCACTGATCCGACGAATTACAGCAACCGCGCGCGCGTGTGCGTCGTGCCAATGTTTGTGCGCGCTTCGCCGAATAACAAAACGAACTACTAATAAAAATTTTCCTACAAGGCCTTCTTTCGTTGATTACTTCAAAATGACAGCTTCCCAGAAAGAATAATTTCACAGGGAGTTTAGTTCCCCTACTATCTTTCAACCAAGTTTGTTTTTCAACAATAATTACGCCAGTTACTTTTCAGATGGCTGCAAATGATGGACTATAGCTTTAAAGCCGGCCAAGCACACGTTTATTCCCTTAATAATGACTGTACCTTCCTCTGGCGACGAATGCCTCGTTCTGTGCATGGTATTTGTTGACTCGCAACATCCCCTCAATGTACAGTCCTGACTTGATGCCTGCCGCTAGCACATCACTCGGTAGGTACTCGGTGTACTCCTTGCAACCACCTGCAGTAATAATCACCACACAGGGTCAGTTTGATCAAGGACCATAGTTGACCGTAGTTTGTCTAATTCTGATCGAATGCACGCTAGTCGACGATGGTTGGACTCGTCGAGTCGACTATTCAGGACCAGCCTAATGCGGCTGGTTATCAATAGCAATTTGTCATAGCATAGTGCAGAGGGGACCAACTATCAACAAAAAAGGTTGAAAAACAATTGTGAGTGCTAAATTTCATTTTCATTGCCTAGTTTTTCCATGCTAGTTTACGGTTCTGTCACTTTTGTCACCCTTGTACGATAATATTGGCAATTATTATTTATATCAGGCTTCCAACAGTAAAAATAAATCAGCGTATTGTATGCTTTCATAAAAAGTTCCCGGATGATTACAATAATAAAGTACCTGGTTGACTGCAATAACATCATTATTGCAGTCATCCAGGCATTTTCGCTGGTTCCCGCTTGATCAAGAGCATAGAAAGTCACAGTTGTCAACCACTCAACAGAGCGTACATGTAGCACGCGCGTACCATCGAACACGGAACACGCCGCGCGCATGCAGCGTGAAGAAGGCCAGCTATGCACGCACTGTTGTCAACAATTACAGTGGCAGCTTCAAAACGTTTGATGTAAACAAAAAAAAGGTGTAATGAAGACAGTGTCTTGAATTGTGCTTCTTGCGGATCAAGTCAGCCTGATATAAATAATAATAATAATATTAATATTGGATTGCTTGTTTTTGGTGGATACAAGAATATATTGCACTCGCTATGACAATATTGCACGAGTCGAAAATATTGTCATAGCTCGTGCAACATATTCTTGTATCCACCTAAAAGCCATCCAATATTATATAATTATGTTAGGTGTCCTTAACTACACAATCGATACAATATACGTGCGCTTTACAAATATAGATACGTGCACTTTACAAATACACATTATTAATATTCTTATTACAAAGCAATAATGTCTCAAAAATATACAAACTTTCAACAAAATCTTATATGGGACAACCAAGACAATTCAGGGGAATCCGCCTCCATCACCTCTTCATCACCTTTGGCACAGGTGTAGAGGTCATTAAAGGTGACGTTTTATTTACTGTTAAAGGGAAAATACAACATTTGCAAACATCAAAAAATAAAACTACCAAATCATTTTGAAATACCTTGCTGGACTGTTAGTGAATGACAGTGTAAAGCATCCTGTAAAATCATGGCACCTGGTATACTGTCATTTTCAAGAAAAGTGGTATTTTTGTATCAATTTTCAACGCTGGTCGGCCGACCAGCGTTGGAAAAAACTGGCTTCTTTTCAAATACTGGCCACAATTGACCATCGCACTTGTTTGCAATCGATTACACACCTATGAACGGGTACAAACCAGCTAGACTGGTTCCCTGACCTTACAATTCCCCAATGTATGTAAACTGCTCTGTTTCTTCTTATATGGAGTCAGGGAACCAGACTACAGGAAAATGATTGTTTTTCTTGGTTTTTATAGCATTTTCGAACCCAAAACCTCAAAAAAGTCAGTGTAACTGCTATTTGCTATATATTTCCAACCCCCCAATTCCATCCATTTCTGAAAATTACAGCAAAAGCAAATGATGTAAATTCCCTTTAAAGAAACATCATTATTTCCCGACACCACATTTTCAGTGGCGTTCAGCCCACGCCTGCACACCAAATGTACATGTATATTATTGATTGCTCACTGCACGGCCATTCAATGTGACGTAATAATTAAGAGGCGGGGAAAAAAAAAACTGGGAAAATTTACCTTTTTTGTTGTCCGTGGTATCAGCCAGTGATGCAGCAAGCGATTCGTAGATGTCATGAGCCTGGGTCAGGGTGGGCCAAAACACCTCCAGATACTGATGAATATTCATGACATGAACACCAATGGTCTCACTTCCATATTTGGCTATTGCCTGAAAAAAAAACAAAAAAAACCCCACCAAAGTTCAATATTGCTTTCATGTTTGAAGGAATGGATCAATGATTTTCATTTTCATATAAGCCTTGTTTTCAAACACCTGAGGGCATTTTCTAGACTGCGCATTCTGAACATGTATCTGGAAATCTGCCATTTTCTTGAAACGTTTCAAAAAATTGGGGGAAAAAAAGAAAGACGTTGAAAAACTTAGCACAGGTTTGCATGCATGCTCGGTTGGGACCAGAACTCAAGATCTAGATTTGTTGTTAAGACCATCACAAGTCTGGCCATAAAGGAAACATGCAGTGGAAATTCAGCTCATCTTGTATTCATGCACATTACTATGTGTTGCAACAATACATACAAGATCTTAATACTTGTTTTCATTGAGAGTGATGAAAGAGTGGTAGTTTTTCAATTATTAGCAAATCCTTTCATCAGTACATGTAAGAGGGTGCTATTTTGCTTTTGTCTCACAAGGTACTCCTTGTCAAAAGTGCAAATGAACAGTACAAAAATTAGTCCTTCAAAATTACCAACAACAGTTTTGAAGAAACATTGTCCACTATATTAATTATTGTCCAAACAAGCTGTTTAACATGATAAACAAGTAAAAATTGGAACTTACTCAAAGAAAACGAAGTGGGATATATATTTGTACACAAAGCTATGGAGACACTACTGTTCTGCCTTGAATGACATCACGCTTTGGCTCATGAATATGGACATTTTTCATTAGCGTAAAAACTAAAATGTTCAAATTTCTCCCTTTTACTGATTACAAAGGAGGTGGAAAGTCATAGTTACATGGCAAGAAAGCTGTTTTAAATGTATTCAGTCATAAAAATCCTATTGTATGTTTCCTTTAAGTAATAGGGAATGGACAATGACCAATACACTGCCTTTGTAACAGCGCATTTGAATTTCGTGTCGCTTTAGACAAGATGGTTTGGGATTGACTTGTAAAGACGTGAACAGACTTGATAAAAACTCAGTCACAATTTCCAATTTCCACATACAGATTCCTATCAGTAGGTTAACGTTAGCAACACTCACTAGAGTTAAAGCCCCCCCAAAAAGTCTCCAGTTTCTGGTCGCGCGCGTAGCCATGCGCGTCGGCAAAATTTAAAAGTTTTTTTTTTTCAATGTTAGATGATGTCTCAAAACCGCCAAACTCACTGGTTTGACTGGAATCCTGCTGCTGCACAAGTTTAATGTGTTTTTAGATGGAGTTACGATCGAGTGTAAGCTTTATGTGGCCTCTCTAGGCTCCCATATATTTTGCACTACATTTAGTCAGGCACCGTTTGCAAACGGTGTTGTAATTTTGCAACTGTGCTTCTGGAAGTCAGACTGAGGGAGCGACGGTCCTGTATCTGGAACCGGCGCAATATGTAAGGGAGCAGACTAGTGACTAGCCTGGCAGCACATGCACGATGTCGATGTCGCTGTATTATCCGACGTTATACAGTTTTCTCTGATTTTTCTCTTGACTATCTTATCCAATATTTTTCAAAAAATGTTCATGTCAGTCAAGATCATAAGTGGGTGCAGAATTCTCAAGCCTTATGGCCTTACTGAGGTCACCTCAAGCTCCACCCTGAAGGATATTTTTGAGAGTTTTAAGGGATCAAAGCGTCATCTGCAACATCAGCCAACATTTGAAGAAAAAAAAAAAGGGCCAAAAAAAAAAAAAACAACGCGTCACCACACCGCTTTTGGGGCAAGCTCCATACCAGAAACCGGAGATTTATATTCCTTGGCCTAAGTGGTGGCTGTCAAGAAATTGTTATTCCACACTCACGTTTTCGTCTTGTGTCAGAAACACAATGGCTTTCTGTCCAGCTAGATGATTGTAATACCACACAGCGCTGTCATACACAACCCTAGAAGCAAGAACAAAAGCTGTTGGAACATACTTTATTAACCCCTTAAGGACGGGGTGTAATGGGGACATTCCTCCACACATAGAGCAAGTGGCCCGCATGACTGCACAGCCTTTGTGTGGTAGCGGACTGCACAAAAGCAGCAGCTGTGGAACTACCCACTAGCCGTGTGCCACGGCATACCACAGCTGGCAACTGCATTCCAATGAGGATTAGCGGCAGAGGCCATGACCGCTTCCCGTGCGCATGGGGTTAAGTGATAAGACAGCTCCAATTCTATTCATTTTCTATTTCAGGGTTCTTATAGTGTGCAATTTATATTCCCCCCACTACAAAAACCCTCAAACACGTCTGTTGTGTGCAAAGGGTCTATAGGTTGATTAGTGATAATAGACCTTTATCATGCTGCAACCATGTCAGTCATGTTCCCTTGTGTCCAATAACAGTTCGGAATGATACTTTTTGTGCAAAAAGGGACCAGACTATTTTTCCTTCCGGCCTCGCTTTGTTTATGTTGATTTGAAAGGGAAACAATCAAGATGGTCGCAACATGATAAGGCCAACAAAAAAAATCTCCGGTTTCTGGTATGGAGCTTGCCCAAAAAGTGGTGCAGGGACGCGGCTTTTTTTTTTTTTACCCGATTTTTTTGCTTCAAATGTCGGCTGATGACTGCAAATGGTGCCCGACTAAAGTTAGTGCAAATATATGGGAGTACAGAGAGGCCACATAAAGCTTATTCTCGACCATAACCCAATCTAAAAACACGTTAAAATTGTGCAGCAGCAGGATTCCAGTTAAACCAGTGAGTTTGGCGGTTTTGAGACATCATCTTTCATTGAAAAAAAAAAACTTTTTCATTTTGCCGATGCGCATGGCTACGGCGACGCGCGCGCATACCAGAAACCAGAGACTTTTTTTTTTGGCCTAATGGTCTATAGACAGATCCTTGGAGCCTTGTCCTTGTTTTGACCATTCACAATGCTGACTGCGCAGCCAAATACATATCCGACACAAAATTAAAATGCTTACAGACAAGGGGCCAATTTCACAGCGTTGCTAAGAACAAAAATTTGCTTAGCACAAAAAAAGTCTGGCTTATAAAAGCAGATTATCAGCCAAAACTCCACGTGATGTATAGTGCTCGTGATTAAAATTCAGCTGTTGTTTGCTTGGCATTAAAAATCACATGGAGTCTTGGCTGATAACCTGCTTTTATAAGCCAGACTTTTTTTGTGCTCAGCAAATGTTTGTGCTTAGCAGCGCGGTGAAATTGGGTCCTGCCCATTTGGAGCTTGCAGTGTGGAACTGGAGAGGTACACGTGTTGCCTGTATGTGCAGTGGGCAGTCTTGCAGTCGAGACTTGTCACGGATCAGACAGTAGTGTTTTACTATACTCCTGAGGACAATGCTTTGTGTTTCCCTTTGTTCCTGTAACATGTGTAATATTACACTCTCCCATAGACTAAGCACACAAACTTACTACAGAGGCCAGTTTCCAACAAGAGACCCAACGCCCAAGGACTGAAAGGATCTGTTGTTCTCCCTTTGTGTGTCGATCCTTGGTGGTTATGTAGAACACGTACACAGGTACATCAAAAGTCCCATGCAAGTCCAGTCACAAGTAACGAAGGGATGCATATTTGAACACGATATCTCTTTGTGACAATTCGGGTGATTCACAATGCAGTGCGCCACCAAGAATTTGCCAAAAGTTTACGGTCGACAAAACATGGCCCAATTGAATGAGTGTCAGTAGACAACTTGAGCTAAATTTGTTATAGATTGGGGCATGGCGTTCTGCCGCCTTACAATAAACACCATACTGATATAAAGAAATATATATATATAAAGGGCAAACAGATACTCGAATCATACGCTTACGAAACTACTGACCGGACAAACGAACAATTTCATATGTCCCGTGCAGTGAATTTGTCGACCATCTCCCACAATGCACTGGGAGAAAATGAACTGTCCGTGGCAAACTCTTGGTGGCGCACTGCATTGTGAATCACCCGAATTCATTTGAATAACTTGTGAGTAGATTTGGGACTTAAGGTTGCAGACCAGTAAATAAATTTCCATAGACCCCAATGATAAGTGCCCCCACTTCAGAAATTCAGAAAAAATACTCACAACTCTCGGAGGTGTTCAAGATGTACATCAAATTAAAGCTCATTTCATCATCGTCATTTTCTGTTCAATTTTCTGGGGGTTAACCAATGACTTTTGGGAGAAAATTCCATCCAAAGATGATAACCCCTAAAAGCAGTCCTGAAGTCCATCGCCATTTTGAAAAATAGAGCCAATTAGGGCCTAATCATCATCCACATTTCACAGAAATATGAGCTCGCAGTGGCTTCCAACCTTCTTTTTTACAAATCATCAAGTTCATGTTCTTCAAAATGCTCTAATACTGAAGAATTAGAGGGCATGCAAATCATGATCGAGATTGTCATCGGTGACACCACAGTTTGTGCATCAACACAGTGTAGCAATCTTGGTGTGATGGTTGACTCTCATCTGGCTATGACTGCCCAAGTTTCGGCGCTCTGTAAAAAATGCAATTTTCATCTACGCCGAGTTAAATACATCAGGAAATATCTCACCACATCTGCAACTCAGCACGTAGTTCAAGCCCTTGTTCTCTCAAATACCGACTACTGCAATTCGCTCCTCTCCAATATTCCGGCATATCTACTAAGAAGACTTCAGAAAATACAAAATTGGGCTGCCCGTATTATCACAAAGACCAACCTCCATGACCACATAACCCCAGTACTCAACGAACTGCACTGGCTCCCCGTTCAGCAACGAATCAAATTCAAAATCCTCCTGATCGTTTGGAAGATCATCAACTCCCAAGGCCCACCTTACCTCTCTAGCCTCATATCATTTTATCAACGTGAGAGTAGACTTAGATCAATCCGTGATCCACTCACCTTGAACACTCCTACCTGCTCTAAATCTGTTGGCCGGGGTTCCTTGGGTTACATTGGCCCCCGCCTTTGGAACAATCTTCCATACAAGATCCAATGTTCTACCTCAGCTGCTACATTCAAGAAATTGCTCAAAACTGAACTGTATCGAGTCTAACTATGTTTCATCTCGACAGCGCCTCGATCTAGTCACTAGGAGTTGTGCGCTATATAAGAACATATTTATTATTATTATTATGATTCGGCCGGGGTAGGCAATTTCGGACCGATTTACTGGCTTGCACCCTTTAATGATTTGTGATGGTGATGTGATGACTTGTGATTTACTTATGATGACTTGTGATTTACTCATGACGACTTGTGATTTACTCATGATGACTTGTGATTTACTCATGATGACTTGTGATTTACTCATGATGACTTGTGATTTACTCATGATGACTTGTGATTTACTCATGACTTCTTGTGATTTACTCATGACGACTTGTGATTTACTCATGACGACTTGTGATTTACTCATGATGACTTGTGATTTACTCATGACGACTTGTGATTTACTCATGACGACTTGTGATTTACTCATGACGACTTGTGATTTACTCATGACGACTTGTGATTTACTCATGACGACTTGTGATTTACTCATGACGACTTGTGATTTACTCATGACGACTTGTGATTTACTCATGACGACTTGTGATTTACTCATGACGACTTGTGATTTACTCATGACGACTTGTGATTTACTCATGATGACTTGTGATTTACTCATGATGACTTGTGATTTACTCATGACGACTTGTGATTTACTCATGATGACTTGTGATTTACTCATGATGACTTGTGATTTACTCATGACGACTTGTTATTTACTCATGATGACTTGTAATTTATTTACGATGACTTGTGACCTATCACAAGTACCTTGAATACAACACGGTCAGTAGGCAGGGCTTAATGGATTGAAAGCTTATATAAACTACCTGACAAGCCAATCTCCATGGCTCTCGCCCGGCTGTCTGGGAGTGTAGGCGTAACGGCAAAACTCGTTGGCGAAGACCGCGCAGTGGTTCCGACCGTCCCTGACCTTGGTCCGTAAGCGTCGGTGAAAGCGACGTCCTTTCTCGTGCAACACCTGCAACAAAATTTCAAATTGACATTCATAAAACCTGTCATCTGTACACTAAAATATTACTCACAAATTTTGAACTTGGAAGAATCAGTTTAGAATATTAATTTTCATACGAGTTTTCAATGGTATTTGGCCCCCATTACGCAATTGACAGCTCCACCCCCTCCCAAAAAAACCACAAAATATATACAACAGATTATATATCAAGATTTTTAAATATCCCCTCCCCTCAAAAAATCAAGAAATAGGTAAATAAAAACATCAAACAAAAAGATACAATAAGTTATAAATATTTCTCCTGATTCTGAACACGTACCAGAAAAAAATTAATATTTTTTGTTCTCCACATTTCTGCATATTATCTCCCAAAACATCGTTCCTTTATCTCTCAAAACATCGTTCGATTATAATTTTATTCTAATAAATACCCGTAACTTGTGTGAAAAAGTGTAAATTTCAATTTGTCTGAAACTAAAATAATCAGGCATGCAACTGGGAATTTAGAAAAAACGAGGAAATTCCAAACCACACAAGACTTTGTACACATGAACAGTTTTTTTCAAGTTGTCATGGCATTCATGACAAGAAAGTAAAAAACGAGGAAATCAGCGGATCCGAGGAAACGTTGCATGCCTGAATAATATCAACTGCAAATTATTCAAGCCTCTTCTTACAACGGGCAGCGACTGAACCTTTTCACACTTACATAGTGAAGCACCGTCTGCATGAAGACGATTCCCGTAAACTCCGGCAACTCCAAAATTTCCAGAAACTCGCCGGTGACGCGACAGTCAGGAATGAGATAATGCGTCACGTCGGCAGGCGTGGTGGAACTTCCAGCTGGGAAAGGGCACAATCCCAGAAAATACCTTGAGTCAGAATTCTGGTCACTTGTGGTCATCTTAGACCTCATCCGGATAAGCAAATACAAATGTACATATCCACCTACAGTAACAACTTAATCCACTCTCCATAGACATGTGTGTAACTGCCAGACATAGCTAAGTAATTGGGACAAGGCTTTATCTACTGTTCATAATGACAAACGTTAATTATTATCGTCGTAAATCAGATTTCATTACTTGAACCGTATACTGACTGGGTCCAATGAACAATATTGACCGGAATGAGATTCAAACTAGTTATCTCTGGAACACAGTACCTTAAAACTAACCACCTAGGCCCTCTCTGCTACGATCCATCCTCTATCCTCCAAAATTGTGCACTTACTTACGTTTGATAGATGTTCAATACCAAGCGCCTCAGTCCTTTAAACTCGTCAAGACAGTCCTGACTCTCAAAATACATTCATCCTCAATCCTTCAAAATCCTCACGTGCTTCCACACCATTCATCCTCAATCCTCCGAAATCCTCATGTTTTTCAAACACCATTCATCCTCAGTTCTCCAAAACCGCCAGGAGGATTTTGGAGGACTGAGGTGGGTTAGGGGCTAATTAGGGCTTAAGATCTTTAATTTACCCTAACCACCCTGAATCCTTCAAAATCCTCTTTGCCAAAGTGGAGGAATTTGGAGGATTGAGGTTACATGGCAAAAGTGCGTTACTGATTTCACAGGATGCACTTTGTCAAGGTCATGGGCCGGACCTTGTGTTGTTTTTTGCTCAGCCATGCATAAATATAGGCCGGTCACTGCCGCAGGATTTTGCAGGATTCAGGCAGTAGTCCACCCCTCCACGGACCATATTCAAGAAATAATGGGGGAATTTGCTGGATCGAGGCTATATGCTATTTTTCCATGAGACCAATTGGAGGATTTTGCCGGATTGAGGCTACATCCTAGCACAAAGGCCTAGGGAGTCAGGGTTAATTAAGATATCCAGTCTAATGTTGTCTCGCTTTTTTTGACTTGTTTGTTTTGTTGTTGTGATTTGATGGCTCACTTTGTCTACATCCAGCCAAGCAGAGTTGACTATTACAAGGTACATCCTCCCTCAAGTAGTGCTCCCTCACCAGCCTCAAGGCACGCCCCTGCCTCGTCTTCACTTGCAGTACCTTGTCTGTTTTCAGCATCTTGCTGCCAAAAAGAGAGGGTAAATGTGTCATGTGAACATTTATGATGGCAGAAAAGAAACTCATGACCTTAAATCACTTTTTTTTCATCATTTATCCTCTTAGTCAATGAAGGTCAGTGGATCTGCGATTTATTTTTGGTAAACACGTCGCCCGTGGACATTGAACCTTCTCTACACATAATTCTGGACACAAGGAATATGCAAACAAAAGTTCGGTTTCCTCAATCAGGTCAAAATGTTTTTAAAAATGTGTTATAATTTTGTTTTCTACAGCAGCAGATGTTTATCTGTCGCGTGTACACAATGGAAAAGTCCAATGAAGCCCTGCAGCGTGTCGCAACCGGAGTTATTACCTGTAACACGTCGCAACACGCGATGTGTCGTATGATCCATTTCACAAAACTTGCGATGTGATGAACGTGTCGTAAGTTCTTTGACAACGGCTTAAAACAAGTCGCAAGTTATGACGTGTCTGGTATAGTAGTCCTTTTCTTAGCAAGTTTTATGCCTTGAAAATTACATAAAGGAGACTATAATACCCAGACAATGTGAAGTTGTAAATGGAAAATGCATTGAACAATTATGAATAAGCCTGGAATGTTGCATTTGAAATTTCAAAGTAGCTGTACAGTCCACCGAGAGCTTGTTTTCCTTTAAAATTGTATCACACATCCACCAGTTTGTTTAATATTTTAACAAATTTTCGGAAGAGATCCGACGACTCTTCGTTGAATACCAGACGACTATTTAATGAATGCTAAATAAATACATATAACAGTCACCGAGTTGTGCTAAAACTTACACCTACATCGAGGAGCACTTACAACGCAATTTGTGAAATGAATCGCATACGTGTTAACTATAATTTTGAAGACAGAGGGAGACCAACAAAGGTCATCGTGCAGTCATATTTTTCGACTTCTGCAGGCCCGGAAGCATCCCCCTGCATTTGTACCTAGTAAGTAGCTGTAAAAAGCAGATTTAAAAAAAAAAATTGCCTGATTTACTGGTAAAGCATTCACTTTCCACATTTTTTTTTTTGGCTGCTGGTTAAAGTTCGTGCATCAAAGGATACGATCCAAGTGAAGTTACATAATTTTATAGGGTGCTATAGAGAGCCGAAAGCGCATCCACGCAGCAATGCGGATAAAGAATGAAGTGGCCCTGTATTCTATAGTTGTACCTTGCCAACTACCGTACTGCTAGTTTGAAAGATCAAATCATTCATTCATTCCTTATTTTTTTTTACCACATCTCATTGTGATCACATAAAACATTACATGACAAGGTATAAATACATAGTTATAAATATTAAGGAATTAATACTGCTTTTACAAAATATATTTACAAAATGTATACACTTGAGCGCATTATTTTCAAATTAGAGATGATGGAAGAGGATCCCCATGCATGTGTATGTTGGAGATAGTGATGATACGAAATCATTTTTTTTTGGAAAGATTCCCAAATCTGACCATCACTAAATTGTCCCTTCAGTGGCGTATGGGCTCCATGCGCCAACAACAGAGGGCGCGTTTTTGTAAGCCTCTTTCGAGAGCTCCGTGGACGGGACACACACTGTACTGTACTGGTTGGCGTGCAAATATGTTCGAGTTCAACGTGGAAGTCTCGCAGTAGTCTGGTTCCCAGACCAAAAGATTCTGACTATTCCCGATGAATCTTAGGTCAGGTAGCTGTCAGTAATACATTGTATAACAAATAATGTCACGTGACTAAAACGGGAGGAATTCCTCATTTTCCCGAAAATGTCCAAATGTTTGCCGAATTCATTTCGCCGACAATCGGATAGCGCCCGAGTATTTCCAAGTTTAATGTAGGCCTAGGTTTTATTAACTGCTAATTGCTTATAAAAAACTTTAAAAATGAGTTGATAATTAATATTCATTGCTTTTTATTTAGAAAACCTGAAGTTCAACAACGATACAAGGGGCAAACTTTTTGCTGCGTCATGTACTATTTTGAATTTGACGACTGTTACTGGCATTTTCAAAAAACTCGGCGTGGTCTTTATTCGGCTCCGCCTGCTAACACTAACAGTGCTTTTTGGGTGCCTAACTTTGATTTGAAGATTCCAGGTCAACATTAGTCAATGTTTTCTTACAGAAATATAAAACTGTATTATCATAACTGTATGATATTATGTAGCTTGAGTTAGATGTTATGAAGCAAGTGATTTATTTGAAAATTGTGATCGGAACATTAAAAGCTATAACTAGTGAAAAACGAAGCTGAGTTTTTAAAAAGGGCCGTCAATGTCGTCATGTTTATTTTAGCCACGGACAAAACAACGGAGGCTGCCTGACCTACAATTTAAACGTGAGTGTCGGGAATAATTGTCAGGTCTGGGAACCAGACTAGTCTCGTAGACTTATCCCCGCCTCCAATAACTTTGGATATATTCGAAATATGCAGTGGATGGACTGGGAACCAGTCTAGGTCACCCCCAACATGCCCAACTCTCCTTTTCTGGCCGTTGATGGGGTACTTGTGCACGGAGTACATAAGTCATCAGGAAGTGATATTAATATGCCCTAAAATTTAAAAAGTCAAATTTAGCAGGGAAAATATTGAAGTATTTACTGAGAAAACAATTAGAAATTTTCAGACCAGTCTCATATGTTTTATAAAAATACAGAGAATTTACAATTTCAATAAATTGTAAAAAAAAGAGTTTATGCCAGAATACGTACGGTTAAGCCAGTGAGTGGCAAGATGGAACAGGTGACTAGCACCTCAACAGAGCCATCCTACCACAGGAAAACCAGATCTCATATTTTGTTTTTTTTTCTTCTAAAAAAAACCCCCCAAAACAAAAAAAAACAGAACAAGAGGGGGTGGGGAATATGATAGGTAGAAAAAAAAGCCAAAGGGGAAAATAAAGAGAAGAAGAAGGAAGAATTAAACAAGAAGGGGGGGGGGGGGGGAGGGGCGGTAAGCGATACTAGAACTGAACACTTTCAAGTGGAAGACTGGCGAGCCGAATAAAAGAAATGGGAATTTATTCAAACCTGCAGCCAGCACAACGACAGTCAGTGGCCAGGTACAAACATTATCGGATTCAAAGCTGCAGTTGAGTTTTGTTTTGTAAAACTCCAAAACTTTAGTCTTGAACGATGGTTTGTGCATACATTGTAGCTTGAGTAACTCCAGCTCTAGTCTAATGCCAGACTGGGACCGTGAGTGCATAAAAACATGCAAAATTACTACTGACGTTTTTTTACTCACCATTAGGCTAATTAATGCCCACACAACACATACATCAAAATGATATAGTAGCAAGCATGTCACCTGCGAAATTTGAGACCTTAACTCCTATTTTAAGGCAAGTTTTTGGCAGTTCAAAAACCATCCACGTCAATCTCCATGCTCTGGAAATGTGTGTGTGATTCCCAATGTATTCTGGGTAGGTGTAGGTAGAGCCTTGCAGCATTGGCCAAGTTCGCGCAAGGACTATAGTTGACCAATGGTTAACTAACGTTTGCCCGAACTCTGTCTAGTCGACGGTGGTTGACTACGCTAGTCGACTATTTGGAACCAGCCTACTGGGGTTGGTTGCTTCGCTGGTAACCAATAGCCGCGCGCATTCATAACGCTAGCAGAGAGCCAGGATCCAGAAATTTTGCGATGACATTTTGACCAGCGTTTGACTAGAGACGTTCGCACGTTGCTATCAGTGCGCAGACGTAAGGTACGTCACAAATCAACCACTAGTCGACTAATGGTCCTTGCCCGAACTTGGCCTTACTTGCTTTTTAATCGATGGCCAAATGAACATAGCGCCCTCTGTTAAAAAATGAAACATTTTGCATTCACTCAGATCAACAAGAGGGCGCTGTTTTATCTACACGATGAAAATGTTATAGCTGAGGAGTCTTTTTGCACAATGCATTGCAGTACACATCAACGTGATGTCTCACGTATGGATTTCGATAACTCTCTGCAAAATTAGAATTAAAAGCTGAATTTTTGGTGATGCAATGCTCACAACAGCAACTTTGCGAGGCAAAAGTTTTGGGGATTAATTTTTTTTGAAGAAACTGTACTAGTAGGCCTACCAGTAAGAAGCTTGCAAATTTGATTCACACTGGTTTTATTATGCAGCACAAACTTTTGCACGCTATGGATACCTTAAGTTTTGGGACTCTCATACCATGGAGAAAGGAACACATGTGTTTCCTTCCTTTCAAACAAGTCTAATGCCTATGCGATTAGACTAGAGCTTGAACAGGCCATGGAGGTAGAATTCCTCCATGAACAGGCCTACTCAGTCAAGCTAGTTTGTGCACAGGGCATGCAGGGACGGTGTTAAGTGATGGCCAGATAATGGAAATCTCGTTAGAAAAGCGTTTTACTGAACTATCACTATGAGAATAAAACTACCGAATGAAAATGTTACCTTACCCATCATCATGACTCTTCAAAAGTCTTCATATAATCATGTAGGCCTATGTCATGATAGAAATAAAGGAAACAGAACGTGTGGGACTAGCCCCATAAATGTGGCCTATTTACTGGACTGCCTCCGTAAACATAGGCCACACATCCACATGTACAAAAATCGTGTCGACGGAGCCAAATTTTGATTTTCACATTTAGGCTTCGTTTGTAGGGTTTTTTTTGCTTTAGAAGCATACTCACCCTCTTTACAGGCTAATCAGAAAGTGCTGCCTTTTTCAGATGTCTAATTTTTGTGAAATTTCATGTTGAAATTTTGATACGCAAACGTGTAAAAATGAATCTGGAAATTTCACGAAAAACATACATCTGAAAAAGGCAGCACTTTCTGATTAGCCTATAAAGAGGGTGAGTATGCTTCTAAAGCAAAAAAACCCTACTAACTAAGCCTAAATGTGAAAATCAAAATTTGGCTCCGTCGACACGATATTTGTACATGTGGATGTGTGGCCTATGTTTACGGAGGCAGTCCAGTAAATAGGCCACATTTATGGGGCTAGTGTGGGACATGCAGACATGGCAGAAGTAACTTGATGGTCGTGACAGCGCCCTCTCGCGGCGGCGCGCGGCGGGTTGTCGCTGCGGCGGGTTCCGGTTAAAGATATAGGCCATCATTTGTAATTTGTGCATTTTGTTCGTTTGAAGCAACAAAAGTGTTCAAAATCTAATGAAGGATATTGAACAACTAGCCTGAGGAAGTTTCAGTTCAGCTTCAGCTGTATATTCCGAGAAAAACAGCATTCTAGGATCTCAATTTCAAATCAAAAGTTGCTGAATCATGTTTTGAATTGTTTTGAATTGCAGCTATACGCGATGTCGCGCACATGATCTGACGAATTATAGCAACCGCGCGCACGTATCTGTATCTGTATCTGTAGCGTACTGCAAGCAAACTCCACTATGGGATATACGGTTGCAGGCGCGTGGTGGCTAGCAGCATCCCTAAACAATTTTGTTAGTAGGCCCCCTTAGTGTTGAAGACAACTGCATCTCATGGAGTCTTGACTTAAAGGACTCCACTGAAGTAGCTTCCCTGACTTCTGGAGGAAGTAGGTTCCACTGAGCTGTTGTTCTTGGTACGAAAGAGTATCTGTAGCAGTCCTTCTTAGATGTAGGGTGAACAAAGGATAATGAAGATGATTTTCTAGTTGACATTTTGTCCCGTTTGGAATCAACTTGGTACTGATCAACATCAATTGCGATTTTGTGGTGAATGGATTTGTAGAGCAAGGTTAGTCTGGATATGATTCTGCGTTCCTCCAATGATTTCCATCCGAGGTGGGTGATCATGGATGAGACACTACTTGTGCGCCTGAAGTCCTTACAGACGAACCTGGCCGCTCTGCGTTGGACAGCTTCAAGTTTATTTTTGTGGTCCTGATGGTATGGATCCCACATGCTGGCGCAATATTCTAACTTGGGTCTGACCAGGGTCTTATATGCAGTTTCTTTAACTTTGGTGGAGCAGCTGAACAGATTCCTGCGCAACAGTCCAAGAACTTTGTTTGCTTTAGTAGTAGAGTTACTTATGTGTTCGGCCCAGTTCAGTTTGTTGTTTAATTCTACTCCCAGGTAGGTGTGATTTGTGACTGTTTGGAGAGAATTGCCGTTTATCTTGTAAGATGACAGAAGAGGTTTCCTTTTGTGGGTCATGTGCATGGCGTAACATTTGGTGACGTTAAATCGCATCTGCCACTTGGACTCCCAGTTACAAAGGGTATCGATGTCGTTTTGTAGTTTCTTGTTGTCTTCTGGAGTTTGAACTTCACGGTATAATATGCAGTCATCTGCCAGAAGTCTCACTTGAGATGAGATTCCTTCCGGAAGGTCGTTGAGATACAAGATGAAGAGTAGCGGTCCAAGCACAGTGCCCTGGGGCACTCCTGATGTCACAGCTATTGAACTAGATGAACTGCCCTCTAAGACTACTTGTTGAGATCTTTTTGTAAGGAAAGTGTTGATCCAGTGGAGTAGAGAGCCAGAGATCCCAACATGTTTCAGCTTTGACAATAATCTCTGATGTGGAACTAGGTCAAACGCTTTGCTGAAATCCATGATGATTACATCGGCTTGCCCTTGGTTATCTAGGATTTTAGCGAGGTCGTTTACGGTCAGGGTGAGTTGGGTTTCACACGATCGGCCTTTGCGGAACCCATGCTGTTCATTGTTGAGAACGTTGTACTGATCAAGGTGACACATGATGTTAGAGTGGATAATATGTTCAAGCAACTTGCAAGGGATGGATGTCAGTGAAATTGGCCTGTAATTTGATGGATCTGAACGGTTTCCTTTTTTGAAGATAGGTGAGACGTTAGCCCTGAGCCAGTCGTCTGGCAGCTCCCCGGTATCAATGGATTTCTGGAAAATTTGTTGTAGGAGTGGAGCGACACTGTCAGCACGTTCCTTCAGGATCGTTGGAAGGATGCCATCAGGGCCTGGTGCTTTCTGTGGTTTTAACTCTTTCAACAGCTTTTTGATGCCAGCAGTTGTGATGGTAATAGAAGACATTTGTTGAAACTTCGGACTGTCAAGGTTTGGGATGTTGTCACAGTTTTCCTTAGTAAAGATAGACTGAAAATGACTGTTTAAGGCATTTGCTTTGTCAATGGGTGTTGTAGCAATACCATTAGCAGTGTTGAGTGTTGAGACACCAGTTGAGCTTTGCCTGAGACTTTTAATGTATCTCCAAAAGGGCTTGGTGTTGTTTGATGTCAAGTTTTCACCTAAATCCAGCAGATGTTCACTACGAGATTTTCTTAAAGTACGGTCTAAGAGGCGGCGCAGCTGTCTGAAGATTTCCCAGTCAGAGGTAGCACCCGTACTTCTGGCTTTATCATAGGCTTTACGCTTACGTCTCATGATGCGTTTGTGCGACTGCTTGAACCAAGGAAGACTGCTGTTGGTACTTGTCATCTTAGTGGGTATGTGTCTTTCCATTGCAGTTGTTAGTGCGTGTTTGAATCCCATCCAGAGTGTGTCTGTAGACTGGGCGGAATAAACTTCTTTGGAGATGGAGTCGGCATATTCATTAATGTCCTCTTTGATTTTATCAAAGTTTCCCTTCTTGAACAAGAATATCTTCCTACGTGGTTTCCTGATTCTTTTGGAAGAAGTAAGAATCTCCACAGACACGATATCGTGGTCGGATATACCAGGCAGGATGTTGACATTCTGGACGAGTGAGGGAATGTTTGTGAAGACCAGATCTAAAATGTACCTGTATGTCGTGCCAATGCTTGCGCGCGCGTCGCCGAATAACAAAACGAACTACTAATTTAAATTTTCCTACGGTGCGTCTTAAGAAGCACCGTTGGAAAGGCCTTCTTTCGTTGATTACTTCAAAATGATAGCTTGCTAGAAAGATTAAATTCACAGGGAGTTTAATCCTCTTACTATCTTTCAACCAAGTATGTTTTTCAACAATAATACGCCAGTTACTTTTTCGTATGGCTGCAAATGATGGACTATAGCTTTAAGTTATCGCCATAGCGTATCATCATTATCTGGGAAGCAAATGTAACCGTGAAAAATGACACACTTGGGGGAACTCGCACAAACTAAGACTCTATTTGGATTAACTAACAAAACTAAACTAAACTCAGGATCTTTGAAGGGAAAAGTCGCGAGGAAATTGAATTAATAGAGACCAGAGACGAATTCTAGATTTCGAACAAAGAAAGGACCAAAAAGAATTTATTCACAAGAACCTTAAACCAAAAACCAGAAACTAAAAGCAAAGAATAAAACCTAAAAACCAAAGACTAAAACCAAAAAACCAACACAGTGTGAATAGTGGATCTTTCAAAGAACACTCAAGCAGGAATAAAATCTGTAAACAAGAAAATGCAAAAAGAGAAAACATATAAGGAAATGATCTAATGAATATTCATGATGCAATAAACAAGTTCTAAGATACAAAGGAAGTGGGAGACACTAATCCCCAAAGTGAAGGATTAGCAAGTAATAAAACAAGTCCAGTGGCACCATCCTATACACAGGCCATGTGAGTTAAATGAGAACAAAGAAATTGCAATGAAAAGCTAAAGTACATGGTGAAGAATTTAAGAAAATCTCTTAATCTAATACTAAGAAAATGTACAAGGAAAACATGAAAATCTAGAATGCAAATGAACTTTCAACCTTTCTTAGTAATAAAACAAGGTCAAAAAAATCTATCCTTAAGTAAAACCAAGGTTAATGAAAATAAACAGAACTAAGAAACTTTTTTCAAAAGAACTTAAAAGAGACCGGTTTCATTGAAAAGACTAAAGCTTCCTTATTACAGTAGGAACAAATCAATCATCATGAAAAGAAGTAAAAAACACTAGTGTCTTAAGTAAAATAATACATGGAAACAAAATGAAATAAAAAGTTGTAAAAGAAAACTTCAAACTGGAGCTTCCTCAAAGATCTAAACTGACCAGAGTCAATTCAAAGCTAACAAACTTTCAAAAGAAAACTGAACTATATTTCTAATAATAATTATACATGATAAATGAAAAGTAGACCATACAAAAGAAAAATCACCAAATGACTCGAGCAGACAGAGCTCAAACAGGACACACCACTCCAGTTAGGAGGAACATAAGATACCAGTATACTATGAAGTTGTCTCTGTTGGTCTGCTAGTCGAACTGAAGTATGGCTTGACCATGTGGCAGCTTTTATAGGGGGAACATGTGGGCTTAAGTAAACAAACAGGGGGAAACACTACCAACAAAGGGGGGGGGGAGATCTTAAGTGAAACTGAAATGGTCTTCTTTTCTAAGGGAAGCTACTCCTATTCAATACACTATACATTACATACATGAAAAATATACAAGATAAATTTGGCCCTGCCACACAAACATTTTGGTTTGCATATACTCTTAACCTTTTTTGGCTTTACTGGCATTAAAACCGTTCATAATCATCGCCATCTTTATGTTGCACCGTGAGGTCGTCGTCATTGTCTTCATATTTAAGGCGATATCTCCCATACACAATTTCGGGTACATTCTTTTATAAATTTCAGGGATTATTAATGAAACCCTATAAAACCCAAATCCACTTGATGCCATTTTCCCCCTACCCCAGAGGACTGTTTTCCGGGTATTGATTTTGAGCCGAAACGACTTACAAGTGAATACTCATTTTCCCTGACCTTTTTATGGGCGGGGAGTCCATTTGGAAATGTTAGCAAAATAAACCGAAAGGAGAGTCATTTATCAAGACTTCTTGCTGCAGATGAAAAATTCGAATTAGAATTACATGTTGAAGCACAATTTTGGACAAACTCTTTAGGGAGCGGGTGCACATTTCATAATTCGGGGGTGGAAAAAGTACAATTTGGTTCTATAAAATTAGAAAACAGAGCTTGAACGTCACTCTATTCTTTGAAGTAAATCCGGCATATCAGTGGGGAAACATTTGGGTGGATTAAAAAAATATTCACATAATTAAGAGAGGGAACAAAAGAAAACAAAAAATGAGTAATTATGGTGTAACAATACAATCTGAATGTCGGTTCAGTTGTCAAAGGATCATTTAGCAATTTGAGATACATTTACAGATGTATATAGTAATGTAATCTTTTATTTCGCTGATTTTGGATCATAAATTGAGCCTTTTATAGGAAAACACTTGTTTCCTACAACATTCGGAAATTTTAGTTTTGCCACTTTTGCGCCTAAAAACAAATGACAAGCTAAAATTTCACAGAAACAATAAAGAAATTTTGTTTTCTGTTCGTATGCAAGATGTTCCCCCTTTTTGTGAAAACAATTGTGACACTCCCCCAAAGGGCAACCCAAAAAAAGTTTATGATTTAACTTGTAAGCATTCTGTCCACCCGTACCCCCATTCACTATAATGAATGGGAAAAACCGCACCAAGATTACTTCTTACATCTATTTTTTCTGTTAATACCATTTGCCCCCACTTATATAAAATGTGGTTCACTTCAGTCACTCTCAAACCTATTTACAAATGCAGTTTCATCTATATAGGGTAATATTCAGGGGCGGATCCAGGAATTTTTGCAGGGGGGGAGGGTTCACCAGCAAAAAAATCTCAAATATAGACAGTTTTTTTCAATGAAATCAATTGGGGGAGGGGGGGACTCGTACCGTACTTCCAATGGGGGCGCTATTCAAATCCAACGATTATTAACACTACATTGCAGAATACTGCACAAATATCCCCTAACCAAGCTGCCTCTGTCCGTATTTTGTGCACAGGCGCACATTATTAACAGTATAATTGTGTTGGGTGTCAGAGCGGGGGGACTGGGGGGGGGGTCGCATAACTATCAATTGATTTACATGAATCGCAAAACATGAGTCGCAAAATTTTGACACTTGTTTTTTTCCACCAGCAAGCTAGGTATTCCGTGCTGTCACGTGAGCGGTTCGCTCGTACCCCCGCCCTGCAAACAGGACGTTGGGATATGCTGATGAATTCACGCTCTGATTGGATAGATTTTGCGCGACCTGTGACCTGCAAGTTTGTAAATCATTGTACATGTAGTAACTAAATCATACGTTTTAACACAATTAAAATGGACTTATTGATCATATCTATTTTGTACACTGTTTAAATGTCAAATGTACATCTGACACAGTGGAGCTGGGGCTGCCCAGATTGATTGCATTTTCTATGCCCTGATAGATGAAATAATAATAGAAATATACTTGAGCCTTTTCTCACGTTTCAAGTAAATTTGCAATTGTTATCACATTCATTATTGTTTTAACAGTATGTGTACCAATTTGTTTTGTAATATGTGTACCAATTTGTTTTGTAACTGTGGCCATACAACACAGTTGATCTGTGGTGATGTCAACGCCTTGTCCAGAGTCTGACAAGTGATTTTGTTTGGACAAGAAGGTACACTGAAAATGTCACAAATTTAAAAAGACATTAGACTTGGACTCAAGGCTTCTACACTAGCGTTCTGACTGACTCCCCAACTGACTGACTCTCCGACTGACCGACTCCCCGACTGACTCCCCAAGAGACATGATGATTTGTTGATCTGCTATCCCGCAGCTCGCAGCTATAATGCTGATTTTGTTTCAATCTTTTTTAAAACGATTGCTAGCCACCCCCACACCAATTACTGTCCCCAGGTGACCTTGCACGCAATGAAGATTGTGAAAATTTGAATTCAGTTACAAATTGAATCTCAGCAGTAGCTAGGGAGGTCGGCGCAATGGGGTCGATCTACATTTGTATCTATTTGCGTGCGAAAGTGTGTTTCAAACTGGCGCAGTTTAACCTTTTTTTTGAAACTGGAACAGTTTCTCTGATGAGATGATTACAGAGAGAAATGATGGATCTTTCCAATGATATATTTGTTTTGGATGATCGCCATATTCGAAATTGTGAAATCTGCTGTTGAAAACGATGTTTATTTCTGGGAAGTTGTGATCGCACTCGCCCTGGGAGCGGCCATCTTGTTTTTAGCTCGTGACATTCACTCACGTTTTGTGGCGAGATTTGCCGAGATTTCGTCGAACAAAAATAGAAATGACATCATAATAGGTTAATGCCAAAGAAAATCTCTTTCGACTCATACCAAGAAGAGGTACGCTCGATTTTTTTTGCCTTCCGATTTTGGAGATTTTTTTCCGACGAAATAAAGGTACAGATTGTCATGATTTTTGGGCCGAAAAATCTCACATGAGGAGTTCATGAGAGACTAAAAAAAGGGGTAGTTTCTGAAAGGGTGGAATTTCAGGAGTTCGTGTGACTGTTTGTTTTTATGTTTCCCATGACGCTTTTTGACGCTGGGAGGTTTTGTAGTCGGGGTGCCTTCAGCAAGGTGATTAAAATATGGCGCACGGCGGTGTCACAATGGCTGCCTATTTTGTCCTCTATGCTTTATGCATGCATGAAGCAATAATATTTCAGTGCTGTGATTACTGGGGTAAATGTTGGTGGATTGCTTTATTGGGGAAATTTACATTATACAAATATAGAATTCTGCTAAAAAATTAATTCTGAATATTTTCCAAAGTTGAACTAAATTTGCATTAAACGTGTTAAAATTAGCTTATTTTTGTCTTTGCTTTTTTTACCCTAGGCTTCTAGTTCCTGAATATGTTTAGTCCAGAGTCTAACCAGACTGTTCTGAGTATAATGTATAATGAAGAACAAGATTCATTGGGTTTTTTTTATTAGTTTTGAATATGCATCTCTGCACAAGGCCTAAAAAAAGGGGACAAAATAAATATAAAGTTAATTCCCACTGGAACCTACATATTGGAGAAATGTTGTCTGTCATCAAATACTTCCATACTTTAAAGATATACTTTTGCTAAGTTAAAAACCCTCTTTTTTGGCCGTATAATACTTTCATCACACAGCTTGGTGAATGTTAATGCAAGGTTTCCATGCATTTCTATTTTAGGTCCCTGGATTCCCATCCTAGTTCAACCCAACCTCAAATATGACAGCTCCGAGGAAATTTACACATACCAGCTATTAAAGGACTACCATAAAGAGGACCTGAGAATACAAATTTAGGATAATATGATCTCATCTAAATGAACTTGAAAATGTTTTCCAAACCTTTCTCAAATATTTTGAGGTGATTTTTATTTTATATTTTTTTTATTTTACACCCCGCACCATGCCGACAGAATAATTAGGGTTGGACATGCCCCTTTAAGGGACCATAACTTCACCATACTTTAAGATATAAACTTATAATTGGTACCATTAGATTTCTTTTTGGAAGCTCTTTCCAATGATACCAAGTTTGTAATATTTGGACCAAAAAACCCCAAAAGTGCCGACCACCCTCTAGGACTGAAATTTTGCTCAGTTTTCTTAGTTTATGTGACTACAATAATAATATCTTCAACAAGGCAAATAGTAGTTTGTTGGACGAACATTGAACATATCATGGTAAATCAATTCGTGAGATATTAGTTAGAGGCCGCGGGTGCTCTTTCACGAATCTATATATTAAAAGGGGATAAATAGAATCTATACGTATTAAAAAAAAACCCGGTTGTTTCACTTGCCTTCTTGCTTTAACAGTTTTAGACCAAATTTAAAAATACATAACATTGTTACTTGTTGAGGTGGGGGATGGCCTTAAAAGGCCCCACCCACGATCTGCCAGTGCACGGAAGGATGAACACTATTAAAGGCCTTATTAATGACATTATGATTTTACTCAGTAAACATACTAAAAACTATTTGCTTTACGTCCCTTGTCAATGGTTACAACAGAACCAGTAGTCTGGTTCCCAGACCAAACGATTCTGACTATTCCTGATGAATCTTAGGTCCGGTAGCCTCCGGTAATACATTGTATTACAATTTACGTCACGTGACCAAAACGGGAGGAATTCCTCCTTTTTCCGAAAATTTCCGAAGTTTGCCGAATTCGTTTCGTCGACAATCGGATAGCGCCCGAGTATTTCCGAGTATTAATATAGGTTTAATTAACTGCTAATTGCTTACTATTATTTTGTTTTTAAAATGAGTTGATAATTAATATTCATTGCTTTCATTTAGAAAACTTGAAATTCAACGACGATTTTGCGCATCAAATATACTTGGATTGTATGGGCGAACTTTTTGCTGCGTCATGTACAATTTTGAATTTGACGACCGTTACCGAGATTTTCCAAAACTCGGTCTTCATTCGGTCTGCCTGCTAACAGTGCTATTTTGGGTGCCTAATTTTGAAGATTCCAGATCAACATTAGTCAATGTTATCTTACAGAAACATCAAACTGTATTATCATAACTGTATGATATTACGAAGCAAGTGATTTATTCAAAAATTTGATCTGAATATTAATGCTAAAAGTGATAAAAAGAAATCGGAAACGTAGCCGAGCTTTGAAAAATGGCCATCGGTGTTCTCATGTCTGCTACCCTCTCTCGGCTTGCAGTCTCTGATGACTAACGCGAGTTTCCCTTGTTTTTCCAACTCTTTCAGTATGGTGTGTTCCTTAGTAAAACTGTGCTTCCTGTTGCGGGCAAAGTTGAATCTGACATCGTCGAAATAATGATACTTGACTGCTCGACCCTCCAGGTCTTTGTAAAACGGGTAGAATCCGAAGAGAGTGATTTTCGAGCAGAACGTCCGAGCGACTGCGTACATGTCTAATCCAAGTGTGGCTGTTCGATGTAGACCCCATGCCCTGCAAGGAGGGGAATTGAAGTGGTGGGGTGGGGGAGCAGAAATTACATTAGTTATGAGCTGTCCAAAGAGACATCGAACGAAAAAAATCGGCCCACGATAAGTACTCAATTAATTAATTTCAGTTTTTGAATTAGGAGCGTCCCGCTCCCTGGCAGTTCTGGAGCCAGAATAGACCTAGCGTGCGCATGTTTCCGAGTCTGAATAATAATCTCAACACCACACATACACAATTTTGTATTCACAGTAAACAGTGTCGTACTGCACCAGGCGAATACAAAATGCGTGAATTCCTACTTGTAAACAATCATTTTAGTCGGTCTACGTTACTAGATGTGATTATTTATAGTAGGCCTATTTCGCTCAAACCTTTCCTAACTGGAGCACACCATTGGTGCAATGCTAAAATTAACTTATAAACCACTTTTTACAACTGTATAAAGGCCTGCAAATGCAAACAAGTAGTTTTATTCGTAACAGGACATTATATTCCTTAAAATTTCTTTCGGAAAAGACAATCGAAATTTCGAAAAAGTCTATACCGGCTTTAAGAGTGTTGAATCTGCCCTTGAATGCTCTCAAACTGAAGCTTCAATTTGTACTTCTTGAACGGAAGCCATTATGCTTCAGCCTTCTTGCGCTGGTAATTTCCAACTACACGGCCAACGCTTGCACTATATAGGTCTACATGTATTTGGTCATTTTGCCAACTTATCCTGACCATGGCGTCTACTAATCATAATAGCGTCTACTGATCATGATGGTTCTCAATACAATCAGCTACTATAGTTTGATCTCGTGAAATTCCGGCAATGCAGGAGCCACCCTCTTCGGAGGCTTTCGTTCCTCGGCAAGGTTCGCGTTCCAGGCAGGCGCGACCGGGTCGTCATCCAGCTACTTCCTATATAACCTTAGCTTGCTAAAATGTTCGTTCTCTTGGTGTTCATACAGACAGCCACTCCTCCTCGCCAAGAAAGACAGCAATGGTTGACCTCGAGCTTACTCGTCTTGGTATAAGTGTTGCAGCTCTCAGCGAAACCTTGCCTACTGGCCGTGGTTCTATTCGACAGGAAAATGTCGCCTTCTTCTGGAGCGGTTACGCAGATGATGCGAGGCATATGCATGGAACAGGCTTCGCAGTTCGGAACTCCCTACTCCCTTGCATTTAGCAACCTGTTGTCATCTCTCCCCGCCTCATGTCTTTGCGTATGCGTCTCAGCACGCTTTACAATTTCATACCACAGGACCTAAAAGATGCAAACATCGTAACCCTTCCACAAAAACAAAGGTAGCCGACAAAACTGCAATACTTACAGGGGCATCTCATCTGTGTTTAGCTTGGAAGGTCTTTGCCCGATAGCTGGTACCTTGGCTACAGCTATAGGTCATCTCCAACAGAATCCTCCCCAAAGTCAGTGTGGCTTTCGCCCATCCCGCTCCACTATATTGACATGGTGCTCTCCTTGAGGCAACTTCAGGAGAAGTGTGTTGAACAACGGAGACCTTTGTACATGGTCTTCGTCGACTTAACTAAGGTGTTCGACAACGTGAGTCGTGCAGGCCTGTTTTCCATCCTAAGGCGCTTGGGCTGCCCAGATAGGCTATTATCTATCCTGATGTGTTTTCATGGTGACATGTACGCCACAGTCCAGGTCAACGGCACAAGATCTGCTAAAATTGAAGTCTGTTGGGGCGTCAAGTAGGGGTTTATGCTGGCGCCTCCCCTGTTTGGGATCTCTTCTCGATCAGCCCTGCTATACACTCTGCATTTCCTGAACCATTCTGGTATCTTGCTTCACACTCCCGTCCCGTCTCCGTACCAGGACGAAGGTTGGGCATGTTCTCATCCGCAGATGAGCTTCAAGATCTCTGCAACTCATTTGCCAGTGCTTGCTCGGAGTTTGGCATGAAAACCAGCCTTGGCAAGACAGAGGTGTTATCACAAGGCCCAGGTCTCCCACCCATGATCACCATCAATGGCACACCTCTGAGCGTGTCAACAAATTTCAGTATCTGTATTCCACAGTTACCATCACCACCTTGGATGCCGAACTTGACTCCCGAATAGGTAGGGGTGCAACCACCTTTGGCCGAATCTGTGCTCGCCTTTGGGACAACCGGGTTCTCTCCATCAAGCTGAAGATCCGCATCTACGTGTCCTGTGTGCTGAGTGGAGTGTGCTACTCTACTGTTGTAAGTCATGGCCGAACCACCGCCGCCAGGAACGTCGCCAGGAACGCCTTCCATTTCCGCTGCCTGCGTTCAATTCGTGGAATCTCCTGGCAAGACCGAGTCTCAAACCCTGCCATTGTTAAGCTCACGGGAGTCAACGACATGTTCACAATGCTGTCAGCTCGCCGCCTTCGTTGGTCTGGTCATGTCTGTATAGACAGAAAGATAGTCGACAGCCAAAGGACACCTTCTCCGGGGAGATGGTTCCTCGCCACCGTGGTCGTCCAAAACTCCGTTACAAGGATGTCCTAAAGCGTGATCTGCGAACTTTCCAAATTCTAGTTAGCCCCTTGCAGACCGTGGTGCAGGACCGCACTCGTTGGCGATCCGCTGTCCATCTGGGCCACTCTGCTTCGTCTGTTGCATTATATTGCTGATTGCGAGAATCGTCGTGCGGCTAGACACCGAGCTACACCGTCTTATTCTACAGGATAGGCCACTGCTGCCACTGCTGTCTGACCATGATGGGAAAAGTGACTGAGGCACAATGACTTTCCGATATGATTATGCACAGTCGGTTTAACCTATTTTATTGATATCATTTCGCTCAAAACTCCTAGTATGTAGTATATAGCTTCCCCCTTTCCAATTATTTTTTTTCTATCAATATTCAACATTTTGTTTTTCCTTCGTTCTCATTATCTTTGTGTTTCATCAGCTTGGTTTATAATATGACTTTTCTATGTAACATTCGTTTGTTTGTGTTTGTTTATCTGTCTGTCTGATCCTGTTTTTGTTCTTGTTATGTTTCAGCTGTACAATAATTGTCCAGGTTGTTCCACTTACAAGCTTTGGTTTACGTCAAAAAAACGTGTACTCTCCTATCTTACTCTTTCTTTTACTTTACTTTTTTTTCACCATTATTTAATGAATTAGCTCCAAAGTATTATTTTGTTACTCGTGGTAATTACCTATACAATTTCTTTAAACTTTCATATTACTGTATTGTACTTTATATTATCTCACTTTAAATGTCTACTGAATAAAATGAATAAAATATCGACATACACAGATCACTTTGTTTTTTCTTTGACTTTACTTACTTTTCGACATGGATACCTTTCCAGCTGAAAGCAAACCGAATACCCGTGAATCCGTTCTTTCTGATTCCATCGATTATAGATCGATACTTCCCACAATCGTCACAATGAGTACCAGGTCGATACAAATGTTTCGGGTACCACAAAATTCGAATGTTCGAAGTTCGAATACGGTCAAGAAATTGAGCCCGTATCTTTAGATTTTCAGTAGTGTTTGTGTTTCCCATGGCACGACCGTATTTACGCAACAGAGTCCAGTTGATAACACTTAAACTGGTCGCCTTGCCGACGTCAACTTCGTAGCCTTTTATCAGCGCCCCATTGGCGCGGATAACAAAGTCATGTGAGTCGATGAAATCCCCGCAACTGCTGTTGTTTAAGATACCGCTGTTACCGACCACAGCGCAGCTTGTCTGCCGTGGGATGAGCTCTACTCCAGGGAAATGTTCCTCCAAGTTACATCGCTCCACCTCAAGCACTAAGGATTCATTAGAGGCGTTGCTTGCACTTGTTACACGGACAACTGGATAATGATATTGGTTGAAGGCCATGTTTTCAGTTGGTGTATCGTTCTTGTAGACGAAGACGGCCAAATCCAGGGGGACGCAAATATCACCTGCAGATCTGTCAATGAAGAAAGAAAGAAAAGCTTTGGATTCCTTCGTCTCAAATCGAGGGAAACCACCGTTAAGTCCACACATTTTTTTCAAGCAGACTGAAGGTTATGGACCATGCAAACAACGCACGTTCACAATAGAAATGTCCAACGCACTAAAACAAATGACAAAAACCCCTATAATCTGTGTTTTACATACAGCGCCCATCTTCACAGCTAAACAACTAAGACGAATCAGAGTGCTAAATGCATGTAACTGAAATCTGAGCTTTTGAAGTAAACTTAGAATTGACATTTCGAGCCGATAATGTGGAACGAAATTAAAGGATCGTTCTAGGGAATTTGTTTGATAAACGTGTTATTTGTTACCGGGAAAACATATAGATGAAATTTGCAAAACCTAGCCAGCATACATTCATGTTGCTGCAGTTTTTCATAATGAGTTATAAATTCACACACTCTAGCTCAGGGGCGAAAATCCGGGGGGGGGGGGGAGGGGTATATATCTCCCCACTTTCTGACCGGGGGAATGGGCTTTTTAATCATTCACCCACTTTTCCATGATGAGAAAAAAAATGCGTATTTCGAGGTATTTCTCGAACATCCCAACTTGCAAAATGTATTCAATAGCATTGACAAGTGGAGACAGAAAGTACGAAAGGTTTTAAAATGCGCAGTTAATAAATTTCACGGGGTGTTTAGTACCAGTATATACGGTCTTTTACCCAAGAAAGCGTTTTGATAATAATTTGCTATATTATAGCATAATTATATACTACACAACAAGCCACAACTTGTCATTATTCACGTTATAATTCATAAAAATAGCTGTTCCTTCTGTGTATTGTACTTGTAGTCAGTGTTGCAGTACTCATACTCCGTACTCGTACTCGAGTACTACTCGAGTCCTTTGTTTAGAGTACTCGTACTCGAATGTCAAAGTACTCGAACACAAAATAACGGTACTCGTACTCGGGCAGCAAAGTAATCGTACTCGACATGTCGAAATTGTACTCGATCATCAAAGTACTCGTACTTGAATAGCAGTACTTGAAAACAAAATGGTATATTATTTTATCGATACTTTCAGTTTGAAATGGTTGATTGGCGGAGAAATCGAAGTTTACTGATATTCCTCTGTGCACGTCCAGACAAACACATTTAATTAACAGCTAGCCATGAGTGGGTCTGTATATCGGTCTGACTGGGCCTGGGCCAATTACGCACAATGAACCATTTGCCGAATGGCCGTATTCGGAAATAGAAGTACCCGTACTCGTACTCGTACTCGGAATAAAAGTACTCGTACTTGTACTCGTACTCTACTCAGAAGGACTTGTATTCGTACTCGGAAGTACTCGTACTCGTACTCGGAGACCTGTACTTGTACTCGCAAGTACAAGTACTCGTACTCGGTAACCTAAGTACTCGGCAGTACTCGGTACTCGGAAAAAAAAGTACTCGACTACTGCTGAGTGCTGAAGCATGACGACGCCAAAAGGAAATTTTGTCTTTTCATATCTGGTGAGCAAATCTTGGGTTATTGAATACCGTTTGCAGTAGCGCTCCAAAATGGCGATTTTCACAAAACCTTAAAAAGTGTATTTTCATATTTTTGCCTTTGTTTTAAGTAATAACATGTATAATTGAAAGCGTTCCTGAATGTAGCACATTTTCACAAATTAAATCGCACTGTGTACCACTGTTAGACCAGTGGATGAGTAGTAGGTCGTATAGTCCCCCACATCCTGCTAGGCCCCGCCCATTCCCCCGTGCCACCGAATTCAGATCTTGTAATTTTGCATAACGAAAAAGATGTAAATAAATAATTTGCAAGTGAACACTTTAGAAATCACCCCCCCCCCACTCCGGGGCATTGCTTGGGGTGGGGGGGGGGGGGGTTGACCTCCCACTTATAACTTGGCTTTGTCGGCAAAATCATTGCCACGTCGGCAAAAATCTTGTGTTTGCCGGCATAATTTTAAGCCGCAATGGATAATAATGCCCCATAATTGTGTCCAACGCCTCTGATTGAAGAGCACCATTAGTAAAATGATGTCCAGTCCTCCCCGCCCCGCTATGCCCCGCCCCTCCCATTGCCACCAAATTCAGATTTTTTCTAAATGTATGTGCCTAAATAGATATCAATTTGCAAAATATCAACAGCCGTCTCCAACCCCCCTCCCCACCACCCTCCCCCTTCTCCAGTGCTCATATGAGCAACTCCCCCCGTACCCCCCCCCCCCCCCCACCCAAAGAATTCTACACGAAGAATTATTGATAAGGTTGCATATATTGCCATGGGGAAAATCCACATTATTTATATGCACTACGCAGGTGTGTTTCAACTTAAAATGCCTTTAAGGCCAAAAACAAAAAGTCTCCGGTTTCTGGTATGGAGCTTGCCCCAAAAGTGGTGCGGCGACGCGGCTTTTTTTTTTTTTTACCTGTTTTTTTTTTTTTTTTTTTTGGCTTCAAATTTCGGCTGATGACTGCAAATGGTGCCCAACTAAACTTAGTACAAATATATGGGAGTCCAGCGAGGCCAAATAAAGCTTATTCTCGACCATGACCCCATCTAAAAACACGTTAAAATTGTGCAGCAGCAGGATTCCAGTCAAACCAGTGAGTTTGGCGGTTTTGAGACATCATCTTGTATTGAAAAAAAAACTTTTTCATTTTGCCGACGCGCATTGCTGCGGCGACGCGCGCGCATACCAGAAACCGGAGCCTTTTTTTTTGGCCTAAGGGGCCATTCAGAATTTTCAATGTTTTAAAATTTCGATCTTTTTTCCAAATTGTGGGTGGGTGGGTCAAGCTACATAATTGAAAATCGAAATTCACTTTCCATGGAAAAAAAGATAAAAAAAAAAACAAAGAAAGAAAGATCTTTTGACTTGCCTGAACTACGCGCAAGCGTTCCGATATCGCGATGCGTGTTTCTTTTCCAACTTCGTCCCCTGTATGTACTGTCAGTGGCGTAGCCAGGATTTTTTCAGTGGGGGGGCGCTGGGGGGGGGGGGGAGGGGGGGATGGAACATTTCATGGGGGGGGGGGCGTCATGTTGATCAATGATACTTTTTTTAGAAACTCAAAATCTCAGTGGGGGAGGCGACTGGGGGGGGGGCGACAAGGTTTCATGGGGGAGGGGGCTACGCCACTGCAGGTCATACAGTTAAAGTTTATGTAAACTTGTATGAAAAGTCAAAGAAAAGTAACTCCCATGATCTATTTGACACCAAGTTTGTGTTAACTTGCCGGTAACGCCCTAAATTATCCAGACAAATATGTTTATTTTGTAACATTTGATGTTCGTCTGTCGGTCTTCTATGCTGTTATGTTTACTTTTAGGTATCTTCAATGGAACTATGTTTAATTAACCTGTTCATTCATATTCTAGAAAATTGATAAAAATGTACAATATTACTATATGCAATTTTGAGGGAAATGGGCAAAATACTGCATAAATAATTTCACTTGATCATATTCATAATACACAAACCGACAATTTTCATTTTCAGACCCACAACGAGGTTAACACGAGTTAACACTGGGCTTCTTGTGAGGAGTTGTGCTGGGAATCCACCATTACATAAATTCCCATAGGCACCAAAGATAATTACCCCAATTTAAACAAATCGGGGAACATACTCTGAACCCTCACAGGTGATCAAAACATACATTAAATGAAAGCTGAATTAATCCTCTTCACGTTTTTGGAAATCTTTTTTTTTTGGGGGGGGGGGTTTGACCTATGACTTTTAGGTGATTTTTCCCTCCAACGATGATCACCCCATCGCCATTTTGAAGAAAAAAAAAAAAAAAGATTCCTTCCACTCCATATCAATATAGATTCCATTCAAATGTTTTGTTCAGAAATCCAAATTCAGGAACATGGACCCTTCACTTCTACAAATACAGACCCTCAAGTGCAGGGGCCAAAATTCTTTATTATTACAGATAAACTAGTATACAAATCGTGATTTGGATGGATTAGGTCGCGCCTATTTGGGCTGCCTCTCATATGTACTGCGATCGGGAAATCTCCAGCGTAATAAAGACTTGAAGAAACTTTATTTGATTTATATGATTCAATTATTTTATTTTAAATCTTAAAACATAAAATAAAAGCTAAAAGTTGGACAGGCTGCCACGGATATGTAAAAGTAAAAAAAAAACAATTGTCATCAGACATTTATCAAAACCCCTGCCAATAAAACAGATTTAAAAATCCATTCATAAAAATTAAAGTACTATTGAAAAGTAAATTGTACAAATCATACGAGACATGACGAGACATGACGAGACGAGACAAGACGGGGAGATGAGACAAGACTCGGCAAAAAAAATCATAGAGTGAAACACTGGACAAGCTAGACAGATACAAAAATATAAAAACGAACTAATAAATAAATACTCTTACAACCCAACAAACAAACAAACAAACAAAACAAACAACCAGACTCAATAACGGGAATGAATGACAAACGGGCTAAAAAGATTATTACAAACAAAACAAAACAAAACCGAGAAACAAAAGCAATCCCATTCCCCAGAGAGAAAAAAGCAAACCATAAACAAACCATAAAAACAAACAACCTAGTTGACATACATACGTCTACACTCACATTAAATACACACACTAAAGAAACAACAAGAAAATACCCGGGAACAAAATGAAATAAGACACAATTTTACATTGACGATAAAATAAATATGACTGCAATAATTCCTCCCTCAGTTTTAAAAGAAAAGATTTACAACCTTCCATGGTTAAAACTTTTTCTAATTTTGACACCGTGACTTCGGAGAACATCAATGAGACAATTAAACAGTTCTCTTCTCTTGTAATCCATGTGTCTATCAGTTCTAAGTTTCAAGTGGTGAAACGTTAAAGGCTGTGCGACGGAACTGCCCTGCAATTCATTCCTGAAATTATTGTTGCATTCCCTATTAGTTCATTAACTTTATATTAGAATCAACATTATTATCTATGATAACGAATTTGGCGAAAAACAGAGCTTTCACTCAGTGACTTTACTGGTTTATTTAACTTCGTGGGGATTCCTCCAACGTCAGGCTTTTCCTTGGTTTCAACACCGGTGTCGGAGTCTCACAACACTAACTGGGGGAACCAAGTATGCCAAAGATTCTAGCTGAACCGAGTGGGCACGGTACGAGCTTTCGCTTCGCAGAGACGGCCGGACTGAAGCGGGAGCGGACCGCTACAGTGACGGGGAAGCAACAGCTGGACGGGGCCAGCGAGTGTACTGGATCACACTATAGTTCGAGCCATGGTGTGCATGGTCAACCGGGGCCAGTAGCGTAACCAGGAATTTTTCAGTGGGGGGGGGGGGGGGGGGGGGGGGGGGGGGGGGGGGGGGGGGGGGTATAACGCACATATAGTTGCCAAATATGGCACTAACAAGTTTGAGGTCAGCAATTTCGTCTTTAAAAATCTGGGTACGTCGGGCTACTGTACACACAATTGTCCTGGAAACAACAGTACCAAAGTACAGAAAGTCGTACGCAAGAGCTCCTTAGCAAGTATCGCTGACGCCA